ATGGTACCATCATCTTCCACTCGTTTCACTGTTCCATTGACAGTATCACCAAATCTGAACTGACACGTATTGTTCCCTTCTGCAGGAATCAATACATTCAAATCACCAAGGTCCAAAAAGGCTCCATACCCATTGATGCAGCGCACTAGACCCATGATCTCATCTCCCTCTTGATAGCAATGGTTCCCAGGTGATTCCAAGGCTCCCGCTCGGGGCACTTTCTTTGCATGCTCTTCAGAAACCACCTCTGTATCATCGGCTCCTGGCGCATCATTTGTCTTCACCTTTGGGTCACACTGCTCGTCCTGCTCCACGAGTCCCACAGGCTCATCTCTTTTGTGCTCCTGGATTTCAGGACCTCCCTTTTTCTCCGCCAAAGGCTTTGCCTCATCTGCTGCAGTTCGCTCGGTGTCGACTTCCGGCGAACTTCCAGACGGCAACACTTCTCCCTTCATGGGAGTGGACCCATCATTGGAGTCCTTTGTCACACCTTCTGCAGCAGGCAAATTTTCTTCCACTGCAGGGCGATTGAGTTGATCATCCACGGCAGGCACACTTTCTTCCACCGCAGGCTCCTTTGGTTCCATGGTTTCCAAAGGAGAATTGCCACCATCGTTGACCACAGCTGCCTCATCGGCTCCGGTGTAGCCCTTGCTATTTCGTTCCTCGCGGCTAACTTCAGGTTGCACCAGTGCGTCCACCTGTGAACCTCCATCATCAGCTGCTGCGGAGACCTGCGCCCCATTGTTGCAGTCGCCCGTGGAACGTAACACCATATGCACCTCAACCCGTGCCTCCTTCGCACTCCAGGTACTATCTGGCGCATCGACCCGCGCATCATTGGCGCTCCAGGCCTCATCTTTCAGATCTTCCGTGTCTCCAGCTATTCCAGAAGCTTCTTTTTCCCCTTGAATGGCAGGAATCTTGGCACCAAACGAAGAGACCTCCTCAGTCGCAACACACAACTTTTTCCCTCCGTCTTCCGAATCTCCAGGACCACCTTCCTGAACGACAGGTACCACATCCACCACTCGCTCTTCTGCAGCCGACACAGTTCCGATCTCCACATTGGGAATTTTTTCTTCTGGACCTACCGATTCCACCGCTGCCACACCCTCAGAAAGCGCTCCCATTCCTTCCCGATCCAGATGTTGAGCCCCAGCGATGTCTGCTCGGTTTCCAGGAATCTCCTCCTCATCAGGAGAACCCGAGGTCGGGGCGTCACCACCAGCCCTAGGACCGCTATCCCTGATAGTAGAGGAGAAATCTTTTTCACCTAAACTATTTACACTACCCTGGAATGCCCTCGTAGACTCAGTCTTCGGAGTAGAGGATGAAGAACCCAGTGCCGCCTCCATTTCCAGCTCATTGCCCGAAGGAGACCCAACCACCTCGTCACTCTTCATCTTTTCACCTACAACCGGCAATGTCCACTTGCTTTCCTGCGTATCCAGGCAGTAATAATATTGTCTCCCATCTTCATGGAGGTGCCATTCCCACATTGTGCCATCACACGCTCGGATCAGATGCTCATCTTTCCGAAAACCATCCCTTTCAGAGACCTGACGCATCTCGTCCTCTTCTTCTGACAACTGTCGCAACCTTTCAGCCTCCATCTGTAGGATCTCCTCCTCCCCCATGGCGTATTCAGCAGCTGGTGCAGCTTCAAAGCTGTCCGCACCCTTCTGTTCGTAACCGCTTCCACCACCTTGGGAACTCGAAGATGGATCCCTTTTGATCTTGTTCAGAGGCCTCCTGGCCGCTTGCAGCACTTCTCCAATCAGATCGGTCTGAGACCCTTGGTCTACCATTCGACCCGAAGTCGAAGTCGACGGCTGATACCCGTGTTTTTGCAACACTCGTAAAACAGTCACCTCCATTTCACGATCTATACCACCAGTCGCGTCCCAGTTCCTTTTTTCACCAGGCTTTGGCGATACAGAGACAGCACGTCCTTCAGCTTCAGCATTGCTAACCATATCCACATTGGGATTCATACCCACATTGGGGCTTTCCGCAACCAAGGCTTCTTCCAGATGTTCTTCAGCGCCGGGAATCACCTCTTCCAGCACCGATCTTTCACCCAGAGACTCAGCTGCACCATTTCCAGCTCCACCATTCTGTCCACCATCCGAGGCAGGTTGGAGCCATCGCTTAGGAGAAGGCATTGCTTCTTGATCCCAAAGATCTTAAAACAACACTCAACCGCAGGGAACCTAATTTGGGCTCATAACCTACGGGGGCAACCGAAGGGGAAAAGGGAAAGAAACCAACCCTTAACAGTTGCCTATATGGATTTCCCAGATCGAACCAGTAAGAGAAGAATCCCACCCTAGAGGGAAAGGCTGAGGGAGAAGGGTCGGGACTACTACCTCCCACAAGACCCAACACCCAACACACGGACACAACCTTTTCAACGAAAAGCGGACGGCTCTGGGCCATCTTGAGCCAAATAAGATTTCCGGGTTCATTGACCCATCCAACCCTCAACACTAACTCCTTTCTACAATACCAATTGCAGCTCCGCATAGGGTTTAGGGCTTAGGGTGGTTGTCATGAGTTGGGCGTTTGGGGTTTAGGGATCTTGGGGTGCTGTCTGGCATCCAGGTTGCTTAAGGGTTTTGGACATTGATTTTAGATATTTTTGTATGTTGTGTGTGTGTGTGTGTGTGTGTTTGTTTGTGTTTGCTTTTTCTTTATTGGTTTAGCGCTTGTAGTGGAAGACTCGGCAAAGACCAGAAAGATCCTGTAAACACAAGACCGTAAACCGTAAAGTTTCGGGTTTAGAGTTCAGATTTTTGGTTTCGGAGTTTAGGGTTCACGGTCCCTCTACTCCTTCCTTTCTGGTGCGTAGGGTTTATTTAAGGGCGTAGAAGTTAGGGCTTACAGGGTTAGGTAGGAGCTTAGTGAGTGAGAGAGAGAGAGAGGACCAGCATCCTGTGTCCGCACTTGATATTCAGACATCAAGTCAACAACATCATCAGCCCCAAGCCCATAGACTTGAGACCGGCAAGCTCTTTGCCAATCCGGAAGCTAAGGCCTTCAAGCCCTGAAAACCCTGGATCCCTAAACGCCTAAACCCCTAAAACCCTGAACCCCTAAACCCCTAAACCCCTAAACCCCTAAACCCCTAAACCCCTAAAACCCCTAAACCCCTAAACCCTAAACCCCGAAACCCCAAATCCCTAAACCCTAAATCCCTAAACCCTAAATCCCTAATCCCTAAACCCAAAACCCTAAACCCTAAACCCTCTTGGGCCTCCGATGTGCATCCCGTGCCCACGCGGGACTCCAGGACGAGCTCGCCGGTCGGAATTTCCAGCGTTGCCAGGAGGTCGGCCTCGGACTCACCTGGAGGGTTTAGGGTTTAGGGTTTAGGGTTTAGGGTTTAGGGTTTAGGGTTTAGGGCTTAGGGAAGAGTGTCAGATGATCATTGTGGATTTTGGGGGTTTCTCCCCCCAAACATGCCGATGGGAGGGCTCCTAACCCTGTCAACTTGACTATTGGGATGTTCCTCTTTCTACTAACAATCCCTAAGCGGGTTTATAATAGGGGGGTACGATAATCCCTCTTAAGGACTGCTAGTCGTAAGGGAGAACATCCCAACTTGAGTGAAACACTTTTTTACCAACCGGGATCCCTGCCATACCAAACCCATCCGCAAGCCCTGAACCCGAAACCCTAAGCCCTAACGTGCAGCTCCAAACCCCCCTAAGCCCTGAACCCAAAACCCATAAACCCTAAACCCTAAACCCTAAACCCTAAACCCTAAACCCTAAACCCTGAACCCTAAACCCTAAACCCCTAAACCCCTAAACCCCTAAACCGGAACCGAATATACCACAATCTTGCCCCCGCCTGCCATCGCTTCTGCTCTAGCACATGGCGCAAGAGCAAGGGGGCTACGGTGGGACTTAAGGAGTCATAAGGCCTGGGAGTGGAGGATTCGCAAGGCTCACTAGGGCTCAGGCTCTGGGTTGGTCCAGAGTGGCGGAGGCTTTAGGGTTTTCATACTTTGGGTTCTAGGCTTTGTGGACGCAGGCTAGCCGTGTAAGTAGCAAGGCATCGGGCCCGAAACCCTGAACACTAGCCGCCAAAGCTCAGTGAAAGAAGAAACGCAACAACAAACACAACGAGAATGGGGGTCCCCAACCGCAAGCAGCTTGAAGCGCAATTTGAGCCAGGAGGTGGGTGCACAAGGCTGCTGGGGGTTTCAGGTTTCGGGCATTTGTCACCATACATATGTGTATATATATATATATATGTATATCTGAAGTATATCTATGTATATATATATATATGAGCATACATATATATATATGTAAATGTACATATCTTTTTGTTTTTCTTTTTTTGCCAGGGGGGGGGGGATGGGCAGGGACGGGCGAAGATGCTTCCGGCTCCCAAGGTGGACAGGATGCCAAGCATTCAAAGCCTCACCAGATGGTCCCTGTTCTAGGGTTTAGGGTATAGGGTTCGGGGTTAAGGGTTTGGGGTTTAGGGCTAAGGGTTCCGGGTTTAGGGTTTGGTTGAGTTTGGAGGTGTAGGGCTCGATGAAAACCGGGCGGGCAACACTAAACCCTAAACCCCAAGACCCTCTTAAACCGTAGAAACCTCAACCCCCAAACCTTAAACTCAGCTCCAAGCCCCAAGAGTCCCGAAACGCTAGGCGTTTTGCGCGCAAGAGCGCAGCTGCGGGGTGAGACACGGTGTGGTCCAGCTATTTTACCCATAAGGGGTTCCCCCGCCCCTCCCCTGAGAAGGGTTCCGGGTTTTAGGCATTCGTTCATATTATTGGGTTTAGGGCTCGGAGCCTACCAAACAAATAGTCTGGACTACTTGAGGTAGCCCAAACCCTCAACCCGAAACCCTAAACCCTAACCCTAAACCCTAAACCCTAACCCCTAAACCCCAAACCCTAAACCCTAAACCCTGAAAGGGAGGGGCTTGGGGGAGCCACCGATTCCGGGGGCCGCCGTAAGGTCGGAATCCGCCCCCAATCATCGGCCCTGAGGTCCGCGCCAGGATGCTGTAGGGTTTAGGGTTTAGGGTTTAGGGTTTAGGGTTTAGGGTTAGGTTTTAGGATTGTAGGGTTTAGGGTTTGGGGCTTGGAGGTTTAGGGCTGTTTATCAGGTTTGTTGTCCTGTCGGGACTTCTCAGTTCCAGGAATAAGGTTCAGGGTTTAGAAGGGTGTTCGGGATTGGCATTGCGAACGCAAGACTATGTAGATCACGACCTTAGGCCAATCGTATATCAGCTTAGATTTAGGGCTTCGGGGGTTTAAAGCTATCAGGGTTTAGGGATTTAAGAGTTTCAGGCTTTAAGGGGTCAAGGATTTCGGGTGAAGGGGGGTTAAGAAATGCACGGTTCGGAATTTGTAGATGCTTTTGGGCTGCTACACCGCTCTGTCAGGTTTCCACAAGCCCTAAAACCCTCCTAAACCCATACTATGCCTAATGCAGCCAAGACTCTAATGGAAGCTTCTTCACTTCTGACTCGCTGAGAGCTTTGTTCATAATCTGCACATTCCGCATTTGACCCACGAACGCCTTCCAGAGGTTTTAGGGGCTTAAAGTTTCAGGCCTTAGGACCCTGGCCCTAAACCCTAAACCCGAAAAGGGTTGAGGGTTCAGGGCGTTTACGGTTTTGGAGCTTTAGGGCGGGGGTCTAGCTCTAGGGACCCCCCTACCATATCGGAGACGACCTGAAATGCAGGTTGTGAACGTTGGGGCTTCATGGCTTGCCGATTTAGGGTTTTGGGAGCTCGGGTTTGCTTAGTAGAGTTGGGGCAGGACCCGACAAGACTTCAGATTTGATACCACAGTCCTTCATGCTGTGCGAAACCTTCATCAGAACCTGCGGGTTTGAGAGCAGCCTCTGAAATTTCACACACATGCGTGCAGCTCCTTCCGCAGAAAGCACCATATGAAGCTATTGAGAAGTGCAAACTGAATGAAAGCCACCCACTTATGACCTCCTAGCAGACCAAAGTCTGAATGAACCCCCCCCCCCAAAGCCCTGAAACTTGCGTGAAGGCCGGCCAGACTAGCGCAAGGGTTTTGGGGTCTGTGGTTCAGGGTCTTTGGGTTTAGGGTATAGGTATAGGGTTTAGGGTTTAGGGTTTAGGGTTTAGGGCTATGGTAGGGTTTAGGGTTTAGGGTTTAGGGTTTAGGGTTTAGGGTTTAGGGTTTAGGGTTTAGGGTTTAGGGTTTAGGGTTTAGGGTTTAGGGTTTAGGGTTTAGGGTTTAGGGCGAGGGTTGCAGGCCTTGGGGATTGAAACTCGAGGCTTGATTTGAGGGGCTTTTGGGGTGTGAAGCCATGGGCTGGGCCCATTGCGTACACTCACTATTATTGAGAAGGAGCCCTTTATGTACAATCACCAAAACACCACATTAAACAGAAAAAACGACAACAAAAGGAAAGAACACATAAACAGTAACACCCTTAAAACCTCAAACCCTAAACCCCCAAACCCGCAGACCCCTAAACCCCTAAAACCCTAAACCCCTGAAACCCTAAACCCCTGAAACCCTAAACCCCAACCCACAGGCGCCTCATGGGTACGGCCAGGCTCACCCACACAAGCGCAGAAGCCGTTTTTATCTGCGGCATTGATGGCGCCACTGAAGCCTTTTCGAAGGTTGGGTTTCTTTTGGGAGGGGGGTTCAGGGTGAGGGGTTTGCCCTAAACCCTAAACCCTAAACCCTAAACCCTAAACCCCAAACCCTAAACCCTAAACCCTAAACCCTAAGCCCCAAGCCCTAAGCCCTAAGCCCTAAGCCCTAAACCCTAAACCCTACCCTAAACCCTAAACCCCTAAACCCCTAAACCCCTAAACCCCTAAACCCCTAAACCCCTAAACCCCTAAACCCCTAAACCCCTAAACCCTAGACCCGAAACCCTACACCCTAGACCCTAAACCCTGACCCCGAGTTTCGGGTCCAGTCTTTCGGGCTTAGGGCTTGGAGTTTGGGATTCATCATGGGGGTTCTTCGGGGCGGAATCGACGGCGACCTACCTTAAACCCTAAACCCTAACCCTAAACCCTAAACCCTAAACCCTAAACCCTAAACCCTAAACCCTAAACCCTAAACCCTATGGAATGTAGAAGCTGCCATAGCAAACTCATTGCGTTTGTGGCGTGTTGAGAGGACGGAAGTGAACAGATATTGTGCTTTGTATTTCTTATTCATGTCTTATGATGTAGGGTCCGGCTTGGGGCCTCGAACATTTTAGGATCCAGAGACTAGGGTTGGGTGTTCACAGCAAGATGCCACTAGATTTCAAGAGCTTTCCATTGGCGTAGAGCTTGATGGTGCTCTTGTCCCAGGTCGCCGCAATAGTTTTCCAACCGTCATTCCTCGCGGACAGTATGCATGGAAGGATCGAAGGCTGGGGGGCCCCCAAAACACCTTAGGGTTTAGGGTTTAGGGTGTAGGGTGGTTCGTCGCACGTGCCGTATGCTTAAGGACGAATGGGTAAACCCTAAACCCTAAAACCCTAAAACCCTAACACCCTGAAACCTTCAAACCCTAAACCCCCAAACCCTAACCTTAAACCCTAACCCTAAGCCCTAAGCCCTAAGCCCTAAACCCTACACCCTAAACCCTACAGTAAGCCCTAAACCCTAAACCCTGCGCACACCCAGGCCCAAACTCTACGACTCGCAGCCCGACTCAAAGACCCCAAGCTCCCCACGCTGTTATCATGGGTTTCCCTGCCACGCCCCCCCCCCCCCTATACTACCCCGCAGGGACCCCACTTAAAAATTGGGTTTAGGGTTTAGGGTTTAGGGTTTAGAGTTTAGGGTTTAGGATTTAGGGTTTAGGGTTTAGGGTTTGGAAAAAAGAAGGGTTTAGGGTTCTTAACCATTGGGGAGGAGCCTGGGGGGGGAGGGGGGGGGGGGGTAGTAGGGGAACCCACGCTGTTTCTGACCAAGGGTCAGCAAACCCGCCGACTCAACGGCCACTTCTTTGAAGGCGCCATTGGCTTTCCAGTATCTGAGATTTGAAGTCTAGTGTAGGGTTTAGGGTTCAGGGTTCAGGGTTTAGGGTTTCGGGTTCGGGGTTTAGGGTTAGGGCGTTTTCCTGTCTCTGAGATTGAAGTTTGGGGGTTCGGGCTTGGGGAATCTTAATTTAGGCCGTGACTCAAACATAAAAAGATATAAACACAAAGCACTGTCCATATATATATATATATATATATGTGAAAAGAAAAAAATATATATATATATATATATATGTATTTACATAATTATATTAAACGAATTGGGGTGGACCATGAGTGCTTGCACGTTGAGAGTTGATCCTCCCTCTACCAGTAGTCCATGCCGAACCCCGAAACCCGCCATGAACCCAGTGATCCCTCTAAAGACATATTTTAGGGTTTAGGGTTTAGGGTTTAGGGTTTAGGGTTTAGGGTTAGGTGAAGGGTTTTGGGCTTTGTGGGTTTAGGGTTCAGTTTTTAGGGTACTCTAGGACCCTAAGCCCTGAACCTGACTCTCACACAGCCAGGAGACAGGTGCAGGCCGCCATTGTTGTGGCCCGGGAACATTCGCAGAGCCACGTAGTTGTCCTCAGCACACCCAAACCCTACACCTGAACCCTCAACTCAAAAACACCCTGAACTCTAAACCCCAAACCCTGAATCCTTAACTCCAGAACCCTAAACCCCAAACCTTAAACCCCAGAACTGCAACCCTGCACTGGATCGTTGCTGTCGGGGGCACATGAAGCTTCTGGACGTATGGGGTTTGTAGGGCTTGCAGGGTTTATAAATTCAACAGGGCTCCGCTTGGTTTAGGAGTTAGGGCTTAACTAAGGTTAAGGCTATGTCGGAAAAGCCAAGTTTTTTGGTAGTTCGTAGATGCCCTTCAAAAACCGCGTAAAACCCAAACACATCGAGTTTCGGCCCTGCAGCCAGGTTACGCCAGAGGATCCCCAGCCAAGAATACCAGGGTGTTTCCCAGCTTGGCTTCTCGGATTGACCTGGCGTTTAGAGCTTTGGGTTTAGATTTTCGGGTTTAGGGTTATCACAAGGGTTTGGGGTTTAGGGCTTAGGGTTTGGGGGTGTTTATCCTTGTCTTGCAGGGGTGATTTGGGGGCTCAGGTGCTGACAGGCGTTAGGGGGTTTGCGGGCTTTCAAGCTACTTGGCAGGGCATCGTACATTCTGGGGCCCTAAGCCCTACCCCTAAACCCCTAACCCCTAACCCCGAAACCCGAAACCCTAAACCCGAAACCCTAAACCCTAAACCCTGAACCCAAACCCTAAATCCCGAAGGGTTTGGGGTGTGCTAGAAGATGTCCGGGGTTTATAGACGTCGAGTCGGTCTTTCTGGGCTCAGAGCTTTGGAGGTTTGCCGTTTAGGGTTTAGGGTAACCCCGTCCCTAAACCCTAAACCCTAAACCCTAAACCCTAAACCCTAAACCCTAAACCCTAAACCGTCTTGGGGTTTGGGGATTTCGAAGGCAGACTTCGCACTCTTGGGCTTAGGGCTCAAGCGTGAAGCTTGGGGGTTTGGCCCTGGGCTTCGGGGTTAGGGCTTAGGGTTTAGGACTCCGGTTGAGGGTTTAGGGTTCAGGGTTTAGGGTTTAGGGTTTAGGGTTTAGGGTTTAGGGTTCAGGGTTTAGGCTTTAGAGTTGGGTTCGGGGTTTGGGGGTTAGGGTTTAGGGCTGAGGGTTGAGGGCTTTTGGGACTTGGGATGCAGGGCTCAATGAAGGCTTGGGGTTCAGTGGGTGGGTCGGTGGGGGGGGGGTGGGTTAGGGTTTAGGGCTTGGGCTTGAGGGTTTAGGGATTTAGTCGGGCTCAATTAAGGTTTGCGGCTTCGCCTCATAAGACCAAAGCCCCAAGCCCACAACACCAAACTGTCAAAGTAAGCCCCAATCCCAAACCCTAAGCCCAAGCACCACAAGTTGTTGAACCCCAATCCCTGCCAAATTCCCCCCCCCCCCCCCCCCCCCCCTAAAACCCTAAACCCAAACCCCAAACCCTAAACCTAAAATCCTAACCCCTAAACCTAACCCCCCCCCCCCCCCCCCCCCCGCCCCAACCTCGGCAAAGAAGGTGAACGGCCCTTTTGTGGGCAAGGCAGCGCTGGATCCCTCGCTCTGGAGCCTGGGGCGCCAGGGGAGGCGGTTCAGGGTTTATGGGGTTTAGAGGGTTTAGAGGGTTTAGCTAGGGTTTAGAGGGTTTATAGGGTTTATATGGTTTTTATAGTGTTTATAGGGTTTATATAGGGTTTATAGGGTTTATAGGGTTTATGGTGTTTAGGGTTTGAGACATTCGGTTTCTCGTGCCCAGAGGCCTTCAGGTTCCCAACTTGACAGAACTTGACGTCCTTGCCCTGGAAGTTATTATAAGAAGCCTTCAGAGCCCTGGAATGTTAGGCTTAGGGTTTAGGGTTTAGGGTTTAGGGTTTAGGAAGCCTTCAGAGCATGCGAATGCTGGGCTTAGAGCTTCACCCCCGAAACAAGCAGAGTGGCTGGCACTTCCCACACTCAAAGGTGGCTTTGTGGCTGAGGACCAGCGGGGGCTTGAGCGCCGCCTGCGAGGTTCAGGAGCTGCACCTATACACCCACCCTAAACCCTAAACCCTAAACCCTAAACCCTAAACCCTAAACCCTAAATCCTAAACCCTAAACCCTAAACCCTAAACCCTAAGCCCACCTACCCTGCACCCCCATCAAGTCACTAGGTGCACAAGGGTGTGGAGGGACCTGGGCGTAGGGGTGAGAGGAGGTGATGCTTTTCTTGCCTACATGCGTGCTTGGAACAGAACTAAATGTATCTCTATACTTAAGAAGATTCACTGCCAGGCTATCACCACCTGGTCGTGCTTGAGGGCGGCTGCGGGGATCTTGACCTTGGAGTTCCCGCTGTCCGGCCCTTGCCAGCGCATCTTGAAGACCTCGCCGCCGCCCATCTCGCACATGTCCACCACCAGCTCGTGGGCACCCGGCTTCAGGAACTTCTGGCTGCCGCCCCTCTCCGTCTCTCCGTGGCAGCCGTTGTTGTCCACGACCTTCTCCCCGTTCACATACATGAGGGAGCCTCGCGCAGCATGTCTCACTCAAGCAACCGTGTTTTAGGTGAGCTCATGTTTGCGCACGGCCACTTTCGCTCACCCTAGCTAAGCATTCTCTGCCCGGGGGCCATCGTCGGAGGCCAGGAAGAACTTGTAGTTGCCCTCTTTCTTGGTGACCAGCCGGCCAGTGCACCTGAGAGCGACACTCCCCCCTGAGGATCTCTGCACTCACACGACCCTTCGCCGGCCGAGCCCCCGCATATCCCTGCATGCCTCCCCCCCCCCCCTTGCCTCGTGCAGAACCGGTCGCTTTGACGTACGTCCGGGAACTTGCCGTTCGTCTGAGGGCAACCGCGCGAGGGGTGTTCCCAAGAATCAAGACAACTCTAGACTCTAAACAAAGCTCGCTTGCAAGCAACCCCAAAAACAACAGAATCCCGTTTTCGCAATCCCCGTCCATGTAGATCTCCGGCACGATCACACGGTGGGCCGGAGTCCTTGAGATTTCGCAGAGTCCGCCGAGTTGATCTTCAAATTTCTAGGTTTGTGGCAACTTTCGCGTGGGAAAATGCCGAGGGAGTTCATTGCAGACCTTTTGCCAGGCGTCAGAGCGCCAAGGTCTGGGACCTGGCACTGGGACTTGTCATAGAAGTAGTCGCACTCCAAGCCATCCGCGAGGGGCACCTTCAACTCCTATTAACTGGAACCCTATACCGGAGAAAAGCATAGAAAAGCCCTATTGCCCAGCGTCATGCCTACTGAGATCTCGAAGCGCTCACAATGGGCCCTACACATCCTCCACCCGCATTTTGCGTGTAACGTCCCTTTGCAGGAAACCCTATAAACACTTGGCCCAAACCCTATAAGCCCCAAACATCCCGAAACCACAGGCAGCTTTGAGAACTCTGTGTAAGGGTGCCTTCTCCGAAATGTTGAGGAGGCAGGCTTGCGTACTGCTACTGTTGAGGCGCAAATTTAAGTCTTGCGGCACCTCACCGGACATCCCGGCACTCAAGACTAGGCTTCTTTAGCTGGGGGACACGCTATATCACATACAGGTTGATGATGTAACACATCAAGCCCCCGCATGCGCTGTAATTGCACAATCGCCCTAACGCTTGCTCATGTGATGCTGACGTAATAATCGTAATGATGAGGATGATGGGACATCAGAGCCAGTGCCTTCTCGTGCTTGAGGGCGGCTGCGGGGATCTTGACCTTGGAGTTCCCGCTGTCCGGCCCTTGCCAGCGCATCTTGAAGACCTCGCCGCCGCCCATCTCGCACATGTCCACCACCAGCTCGTGAGCACCCGGCTTGAGCATCTTCTGGCTGCCGCCCCTCTCCGTCTCTCCGTGGCAGCCGTTGTTGTCCACGACCTTCTCCCCGTTCACATACATGAGGGAGCCTCGCGCAGCACGTCTCACACAACTGTGTCATGTTTGCGCACGGCCACTTTCGCTCACCCTAGCTAAGCATTCTCTGCCCAGGGGCCATCGTCGGAGGCCAGGAAGAACTTGTAGTTGCCCTCTTTCTTGGTGACCAGCCGGCCCGTGCACCTGAGAGCGACACCCCTCCTGAGGATCTCTGCACTCACACGGCCCTTCTCCGGCCGAGCCCCCGCATATCCCTTCATGCCCCCCCCCCTTGCCTCGTGCAGAACCGGTCGCTTTGACGTACGTCCGGGAACTTGCCGTTCGTCTGAGGGCAACCGCGCGAGGGGTGCGAGAGCTGTGCATTGCGCTTTCCAACAATCAACGTACGTGCCAAAACAAGACTCGCTTGCAGCAACACCCCAGAACCCCAGAATCCCGTTTCTCGCAATGCCAGTCCATGTAGATCTCCGGCACGATCACGCGGTGGGCTGGGGTCCTTGCGATTTCAACGCTTCTTGAGCTGAGATGATCTTCAAGCTTTTATTATATAGGTAATATAGGTTTGTGGCAACTTTCGCGTGGGAGAAGCGGCGATAATGGCGAATGAGTTCAGTGCAGACCTTTTGCCAGGCGTCAGAGCGCCAAGGTCTGGGACATGGCACTCGGACTTGTCGTAGAAGTAGTCGCACTCCAAGCCGTCCACCAGCGGCATCTGGAACTCCCAGATGTATACATTAGGGCTAATTTGTTGGGGTCCTTATTATAAGGGAATCCTACTATGTGGGGGTATATGTTAGGGGTCCCTTATTTTCGTAAACTCCCATATAAACCCTGCCCGGCGACATTCTCATAAGATTTCGAAGCCCTCATGAACCAGAGGGTGGAATGAGCCCTACGAACTCTCTAGCCGCATTCTGTCATATAGGGGCCTTAACAATTAGAATAGAGTTTTGGGGGGGTTCGTTTTGCATTACTTTTAAGGGACCACAAGGGAATACTATTAGTAACTATTTCGACCCCTATAGTATTTACAGCCCCTTTGCATGGTCAGCTTCGAGAGGAGGCAGGCCGGCGTACTGCTACTGTTGAAGCGCAATTATGTAACCCTAAACCCTTATAAACCCTAAACCCTAAACCCGAAACCCTAAACCCAAAACCCTAACCCTAAACCCTAAGCCCTAAACCCTTGCGGCACCTTCACCAGACATGCCTGGAGGCTACTGGTCATGGATGCTGTCATCAAGTTCCCACATGCCTTGCACCTGTAATTGCACAATCGCCTTGGCAACACTTGTTATTGTGACGCCAATGTGATCGTGATGATGATGATGATGATGATGATGATGATGATGATGATGATTAGATGATGAAGAAGAAGATGATGATGAAGAAGAAGATGATGATGATAATGACGATGAAGAAGAAGATGATGGTGATGATGGGACAACAGCCCCAATTGTGGTTAAACCGTGCGCTTGTTCATTCGGAAAGCATGTATCTGGCTACATCCATAGGCTCGGGCGCCTTAGCTTTCTCGTGCTTGAGGGAGGCTGCGGGGATCTTGACCTTGGAGTTCCCGCTGTCCGGCCCTTGCCAGCGCATCTTGAAGACCTCGCCGCCGCCCATCTCGCACATGTCCACCACCAGCTCGTGGGCACCTTTCTTCAGGAACTTCTGACTGCCGCCCCTCTCCGTCTCTCCGTGGCAGCCGTTGTTGTCCACGACCTTCTCCCCATTCACATACATGAGGGAGCCTCGCGCAGCATGTCTCAAGCAACCGTGTTTTAGGTGAGCTCATGTTTTCGCACAACCACTTTCGCTCACCCCCTAGCTAAGCATTCTCTGCCCGGGGGCCATCGTCGGAGGCCAGGAAGAACTTGTAGTTGCCCTCTTTCTTGGTGACCAGCCGGCCAGTGCACCTGAGAGCGACACCCCCCTGAAGATCTCCGCACTCACTTCACCGGCCAGCCCCCGCATATCCCCGCGTGGCCCCCCCGGCCTCGTGCAGAAACGGTCGCCCTGACGTACGTCCGGGAACTTGCCGTTCGTCTGAGGGCAACCGCGCGAGGGGTGCGAGAGCTGCGCGTTGCGCTTTTACAAGAATCAACATACGTCCCAAAACAAGACTCGCTTGCAAGCACCCCGGAATCCCAGATCCCATTTTGTGCAATCCCGGTCCATGTAGATCTCCGGCACGATCACTCGATGGGCCGGAGTCCTTGAGATTTCGCAGATTCAGCCGAGTTGATCTTCAAATTTCTAGGTTTGTGGCAACTTTCACGTGGGAGAGGCGGGAAAGGCGAATAGAGTTCAGTGTAGACTATTGCCAGGCGTCAGAGCGCCAAGGTCTGGGACATGGCACTCGGACTTGTCGTAGAAGTAGTCGCACTCCAACCCGTCTTCCAGATCAACCTGCCACGCGGTGGGTTTAGGGTTTAGGGTTTATAGGGTATAGGGTATAGGGTATAGGGGTTCGGGTTTAGGGTTTAGGGTTTAGGGTTTAGGGTTTAGGGTTTAGGGTTTAGGGTTTAGGGCACGTGGTCAACCATGATGCTCCGCACCAGGACTCGGCATAGCCGGCCCTTGTTTTTGCCGACGGGTCAATTACCGTCGTGCGTTTTGCACACTTTTGACTGCGGTTGGTTGGGGGGTGTAGGGGGGTCGTGGGGGGGTGGGGGGGGGGGGGGGGGTTTGGTTGCGCCTTGCTTGCCGCAGCTTCCAACCATTTCCTAACTGGCCACTCGAACACTTCGACCGCCGTACCGCCTGTTAACCCCAGTCCTTCTGTTCCTGAGCTGGAGCCTTAGCCACCCCCACCTTTCGGGTATAAGGGGGCTTTTGGTTTGGGCAGGGGGGGGGGGGGTGGTGGGGGGGTGAGGGGGGTGGGGGGTGGGGGGGGTCATAATCGCGTCGGTTCTTCTTGAGTATGCATGCACAACAGTTGTCAAGTCCAGGCATTTTCTCCCTTAAGGTGAAAGTGGCCACCGAAAGCTGGTACATGTGAATACAGGAGGGGCAGATTCCCTTTGGACTTTTGGAGTATCTTGAAGAAAAGTATCCCGAATGCCTTGCGCAGTCACTCCAAAGGAGTGCCGAATCCCGATCTTTGGAAATACGCCAGATCTTATCAAATTATCAATGGAGATGGGAGATTTGCTTTCCAGCACGTGCCATTACTTCACCAGCTTGTGACCAGACGGACGTGCGCCAAACAAGCTTTCCAGTGCCATTCTTAACTCCTGAATGCTTGCCCTGCCTTCCTCTAGCCCGGCAGAAGACACTCGTCAATCCTATACTCAGACCCCTGAACCCTAAACCTCAAACCCCCCAAGAGGCCGACCAGCACAAATCCCTTCCAAAGTCCCTGAAGCCTGCTGCCCCCCCCCCCCTTTTCCTGGTGCTTAACATACGGCCAAGAAGAACCGTGGACCGCAAAGCATTCAGGGAAGGGGTAAGCCCTATTCCCATTAGCCCAATTTTTTCCGATATTGCTTTACGGGCAACAGCATTTTGCATTGAAGCGGCGCATGCAAGCGAAATAACACCAAAAAAACACAAACATGGGGGGTTTTTCGAAAAACCATGTTTTTGCACCGTGAAACCACGAAAACATCGGCATGCGCAGTGTTTTCGGCCTGCGAGCCACCTTCAAAACAAGACACCAAAAAAAGGCACGCGCGATCACCGAAAGTACCACGCCTGCCATGGTTTGCACAAAACGACCTCTGAAACTTGCACTTTTTTTTGGACTAAAACCACGTTCGAAATCGTGCTCCCGCCTAGGCCAAATGCTTATTTGCAAAAAAACGCACGACGGTTAACGCCCCGTGCGGTGTTTTTGCATCCTTTTTGCGATAGAAACGGACTTGCAGCGGGCCAACAGTTTCAACGGCCGACCTCTTGCACGGTTTCGGGTTTAGGGTTTCGAGCTTTCTGTCAGCTGCATGCATCCGACCTACCTCAGCTGACAAGACACCGACTCCCCCACTCCGCAACAAAAAGAGGGTGCGGACCTCTTCCTCCTCCGCCTCCTCTTCCTCAGCTCGCGGATGCCAACCCTCGCTACAGCCCACCGTGAAACTCCGCTACGACATGCTACGACGCATCTGGCTTCTACCAAACTTCCTACGGCCACTCCTGCAACGAGATCAGCAGAAGGTGTACTGTGTGACTGGCCAAGGTGCGCCCCCGTGCTTGAGAGCCGACTCGGGGATGGTGACCTTGGAGTTCCCGCTGTCCGGCCCCTGCCAGCGCATCTTCAAGACCTCGCCGCCGCCCATCTCGCACATGTCCACGGCCAGCTCGTGGGCACCGGCTTTCAGGAACGTCTGGCTGCTGCCCTTCTCCGTCTCTCCGTGGCAGCCGTTGTTGTCCACGACCTTCTGACCATTCACGTACATCAGGGAGCCTCGGGCAGTCCAACTCTTGCTTGTGCCTCGTCTGCCGGCATGTCTACCCCATTGCTGCCTACCCTACTGCTGAGCGCAGCGCCGTCGTCCGAGCTCAGGAAGAACTTGTAGTTGCCCTCCTTCTTGGTAACAAGCTGGCCAGTGCACCTGCAATCTACATTTCCATATGACAGATGCGCTCTAATTAAGCCACGATCTACAAGGTCTCATGAAGGGCATCGCGGACGAGAATGTGTCTTACCCCCGTGCCTGATGCAGAAATTATTGCCTTGGCGTATCTCGGGGAACTTCCCGTTCTCCTGGTGGTGACAGGCGCTAGCGTGCATCAGCAGGAATCTTCACACCTCTCTCTCTTCCAGGATAAGCAATGCCCGTGCACGACTCTTCTAAGCATCGGGGTCCATGAAGATCTTCGGCACAATCACGTGGTGGGCGGGCGTCCTTGTTGCAAGCTTGTTTCGGGTTCGGGGTGTAAACCCTAAACCCTAAACCCTAAACCCTAAACCCTAAACCCTAAACATTTCTACTATCTTTCATCCTCGGCCGAGCTTCATTGCAGCCAGGTTCGGGACATTGCAATTGCTCTGGTCATAGAAGTAGCTGCACGTGAGGCCGTCCTTCAGGTTCGCCTGCGCAAGCAATCCAGAATCGACCATCGCAGCAGGTGAACCATTTTGCCCTACCCCCTCAATCCAGTGATTCTGTGGTCTACACTCTGCTCCCTAAACCCTAAACCCGCAACGTTCAACCCTCCACTAAACCACCAACCCTCAAACCTCAACCCTATCTTGATTGATCAGCGAAGGTCCTTGAGGCCGGTGAGATCTGAGATCCCTAAGATGCTACAGTGTTGCCCGAAATGGGGGTTTACGAAAACGGGTGTACCTGGAAAGCATCAATGTGTCGGGCGCACAGACTTGGGCGCCTTAGCTTTCTCGTGCTTGAGGGCGGCTGCGGGGATCTTGACTTTGGAGTTCCCGCTGTCCGGCCCCTGCCAGCGCATCTTGAAGACCTCGCCGCCGCCCATCTCGCACATGTCCACCACCAGCTCGTGGGCACCCGGCTTAAGCATCTTCTGGCTGCCGCCCCTCTCCGTCTCTCCGTGGCAGCCGTTGTTGTCCACGACCTTCTCCCCGTTCACATACATCAGGGAGCCTCGCGCAGCACGTCTCACACCACACCGTGTTCTAGCCTTTCTCTCACCCTAGCTAAGCATTCTCGTGCCCAGGGGCCATCGTCGGAGGCCAGGAAGAACTTGTAGTTGCCCTCTTTCTTGGTGACCAGCCGGCCCGTGCACCTGAGACCACCACCCCTTGATGGATCTCTGCACTCACACGGCCCCACATCCCTTCATGCCTCTCCCGCCTCGTGCACCCCACATCCCCTCATGCCCCCCCGGCCTCGTGCAGAAACGGTCGCCCTGACGTACGTCCGGGAACTTGCCGTTCGTCTGAGGGCAACAGCGCGAGGGGTGTGAGAGCAGGGCAGCGTGCTTGCCTACGCATGAAAGGATCATCCCTGATACACTCACTTGCAAGGGTCTAGACCCAAGTAACCTAGGAATAAAAAGGGGTGCCCTTTTTGGTTTAAGGGGGTTTTCAGGGAACCTAAACCATTAAAAGAGGGAATAAGGGCCTACTCTGCGTCCTATAGGGGCTTAGGGGTGTTTGCAAAGCCCGGTCCATATAGATCTCCGGCACGACCACGCGGTGGGCAGGGGTCCTTGCGATCGAGCCGAGGTATTGTTGTCAAGCTGCTTTTCGTGCTTAGGTTTTTTCCGCTTGCTTGCGCACGGGAAATGCGGTGGAACTTGTGTAGACTTCCTTGCGAACCTCTGTAGGCTTTCTCGCCAAGCCTCAGAGCGCCAAGGTCTGGGACCTGGCACTCAGACTTGTCGTAGAAGTAGTCGCACTCCAGCCCGTCCTCCAGCTCCACCTGCCAAGCGGCACGTGGTCAACCAGACACTCCAAGTCCCCACAAAATCCTCACACAGAGCCCTCAAAACCGTGCAGATCCTGTGCAGACGCGGACGGAAGGGCCTGCTCCTTCTCGTATCTGAGGGCAGACTTGGGCACCGTGATCTTTGAGTTCCCGGTGTCGGGGCCTTCATAGCGCATCTTCAGGATCTCCCCGCCGCCCATCTCGCAAAAGTTTACAGCCAGCTTGTGCTTGCCCTTCTTCAGGAACTTCTGGTGGCTGCTCTTCTCAGTCTCTCCGTGGCAGCCGTTGTTGTCCACCACCTTCTCGTCGTTCAAGTACATGAGGGAGCCTGGCAGAAGCATCTTGCACTGGAGAACAGGGCACCTATGAGACTTCAACCCTATTTAATTCCCCCAAACCAACCTAAGCATCCCCCCCACACCCTGAACCCTAAACCCTAAACCCTAAACTCTAGACCCTAAACCCTGAACCCTAAACCCTACATCAAAAGCTGCCCCATCCACCACACAAAAAAACTTGGCCCGGGCACCATCGTCCGAGCTGAGGTAGAACTTGTAGTTGCCCTCCTTCCTGGTGACGAGATGCCCAGTGCACCTGTCGGTATGCTTGGGGCGTTTCGGGTTGTGGGGTTTGGGATAATGAGTTGTGCGCCTGATGCAGAACTTCTCGGTGTTCTGCACGTCGGGGAACTTCCCGTGCTCCTGGTGCCAGTGCCAAGCACCAGGGGGCCCTATTGATCCCGCTTTGGCCCGCGCTGTCAGCCGGGTTGGGTGTCAGGTACAGCAGCTTGGATAGCCTAGCACCCAATCTCGGTCCATGAAGATCTCCGGCACGACGATTCGGTTGGCCGGCGTCCTTACAGTTACAAATTCGGCGAGTCGCTCAGAGAAAAAGGGCGAGAAAGCGAGAGCACAAACGAGAGGGAGGGAGGAGGGCAGGGGAGGGCGGGGAGGGAGCGAGAGAGGGAGCGGGAGTGGGAGAGTGAGTGAGGAGAGAACTGGCTTCCTCTTTGTTTTAGCGTGGACCGAAACCGGAAACGCTAAATTGTAATCGTTTGACCCTACAACGTAAGCCCTCCACCTCCAAAATCGATCAAGACCCCTCCGCTTCGTGCTTTGCGCATCAGAAACGAAGCTCATGTGACCGACTCCGGAAACCTAATCAAACATTAACAAAAACCCTGAGTCCTAAACCCTAAACCCTAAACCGCAAACCCTGAACCATGAACCCTAAACCCTAACCCTAAACCCTAAACCCTAAACCCTAAACCCTAAACCCGAATGAAGAACCGAGCCGGGCTTCAGTTTTGTGAGATCTGGGACTTGGCACAGGCCCTGGTTGTAGAAGTAGACGCACTGCAAGCCTTCCTCCAGACCCTCCTGGTTTAGGGCCGTTTAGGGTTTAGGATTTAGGGTGTAGGGTTTCGGGTTTAGGTTCCAAGGTTATGTTAGGGCCCCCTGACAGATGTTTAAGGGGCTGAGGGTTACGGGTTTTCACCCTCCCAGGAACGACCTAAGAAAGGTACCTGTGACAGGCCAGCATTTGGGTAAATGAACCCCAAATAGTAGCTTCTAAGAAGGACCCCAATAAGGTACCCCGAATATCGTAGACCCCCCATGTGAAACAACCCACTTATAGAGCTTCAGGCTTCTCATTCCTTCACCTACATGCTAAACCCAGTTGGAAACGCCCCAGAAACAGTTTGACCATAGAAGACTCTACCCTCCCCCCCCCCCCACCCCCTCGCTTACACATGTCTCCAATATGTGTTCTTTGATTTTCAATGTTTTTTTGGTGGGGTGAGGCTGCGCTGGCCCATTCTGGACTCAGCTGACAACAGAACACCAGAATCCGCAAGCAGCGACTCTCCCCAAAGAGCACAGACCTCGTCCTCCTCCTCTTCTTCCTCTTCTTCCTCAGCGCCCGGGTTCCAACCCTCTCCATGCTTTGCGATGCTCTGCGAAGTTCGGCCGCTTCTGTGCTACGGCGCATTCTGCCAACAAGCCCTACAGCTACTCACTAACGAGATCTGTGTGACTGGCCAAGGCGCGCCCCCGTGCTTGAGAGCCGACTCGGGGATGGTGACCTTGGAGTTGCCGCTGTCCGGACCCTGCCAGCGCATCTTCAGGACCTCGCCGCCGCCCATCTCGCACATGTCCACGGCCAGCTCGTGGGCACCTGGCTTAAGCATCTTCTGGCTGCTGCCCTTCTCCGTCTCTCCGTGGCAGCCGTTGTTGTCCACCACCTTCTCCCCATTCACATACATCAGGGAGCCTCGTGCAGTCCAACTCTTGCTTGTGCCCCGTGTGCCGACATGTCTACCCCATTGCTGCCTACCCTACTGCTGAGCGCAACGCCGTCGTCCGAACTCAGGAAGAACTTGTAGTTGCCCTCCTTCTTGGTGACAAGCTTGCCAGTGCACCTGCAACAACTACTTCCATGTGACAGATGCACTCTGACACCATCAAGGACAAGCATGTTTTCCTTGCCCCCCCCCCCGCCCCCCGGCCGGTGCCTGATGCAGAAATTATTGCCTTGGCGTATCTCAGGGAACTTCCCGTGCTCCTGGTGGTGACAGGCGCTAGCGTGCATCAGCAGGAATCTTCACACCTCTCTCTCTTACAGGCTACAAGTAATGCCTGTGCACGACTCTTCTAAAGTGAATCCGCTTCAGACGCAGGAGCATCGGGGTCCATGAAGATCTTCGGCACAATCACGTGGTGGGCGGGCGTCCTTATTGCAAGCTTGTTTTGGATTCGGCATGTAAGGACTGGACCATACTTTTATCATTGTTCATCCTCTGCCGAGCTTCATGGCAGCCAGGTTCGGGACGTTGCAATCGCTCTTGTCATAGAAGTAGCTGCACGTGAGGCCGTCTTTCAAGCTAGCCCCTGCCTGATGCACATCGCGGACGATGAAGGCAGCACATTGCAAGGAAGCTTCCCGAAACATGATGTTGTCTCATGAAGCTGGGTGCCTTAGCCGCCTTAGCCATCTCGTGCTTGAGGGCGGCTGCGGGGATCTTGACCTTGGAGTTCCCGCTGTCCGGCCCTTGCCAGCGCATCTTGAAGACCTCGCCGCCGCCCATCTCGCACATGTCCACCACCAGCTCGTGGGCACCCGGCTTGAGCATCTTCTGGCTGCTGCCCTTCTCCGTCTCTCCGTGGCAGCCGTTGTTGTCGACGACCTTCTCCCCATTCAAGTACATGAGGGAGCCTCACACAACCACATCTTGGGAGCAGCTCATGTTGGCGCACGTCTCCTTCTTTTACCCCATGTTCCCTTCCCTCCCTTCTTGTGATTTCTGCCCGGGGGCCATCGTCGGAGGCCAGGAAGAACTTGTAGTTGCCCTCTTTCTTGGTGACCAGCCGGCCCGTGCACCTGAGACCACCACCCCTTGATGGATCTCTGCACTCACACGGCCCCACATCCCCTCATGCCCCCCCCCGGCCTGGTGCAGAACCGATCGCCCTGACGTACGTCCGGGAACTTGCCGTTCGTCTCAGGGCAACAGCGCGAGGGGTGTGAGAGCTGCGACTTGCGCGTTTACAAGAATCAGCGTACGTCCCTGAATAAGACTCGCTCGCAAGCACCCCGGAATGCCAGATCCCATTTTTAACAATCCCGGTCCATGTAGATCTCCGGCACGATGACGCGGTGGGCCGGAGTCCTTGAAATTTCGCAGATTCAGCTGCGGTGATTTCAAGTTCAAGCTTAGTTCTGTGGCGGCTTGCGCCCGGGAGAAGCACCGGAAAAGGCGAATGAGTTGTGGTTGTAGACATTTTGCCAAGAGTCAGGGCGCCAAGGTCTGGGACATGGCACTGGGACTTGTCGTAGAAGTAGTCGCACTCCAACCCGTCCTCCAGCGCGACCTGCCACAAGAACGCACTTCGAACGCTCTTCTGGTTGGTCTTCGAACACACGGCCCATACGGGTCACAATCACAGCAATTGCACCATGAGGACGAATTTGCCCAACACTTCGAACTGCGAGATTCTGCAAGCTTTATCAGCCACAACCAGAGAGAGGGAGAGGGAGAGAACGAGAGAGGAGAAAACGAACGAGCGAACGTGAAGCAGCGCGGTACTGGCGCTGACTGCAGCAATCACCTGTGGACCTCTTGTCGTGTTAGCTGCTGTCACTGCATATATGGGGGCTTACGAAAAAGGCCGAGATAGCAGGATTCGGGACCCATACAGTATGGCACAGGCCAAGCCTCTGGGATCTTTGCCTGGCCAGTCGCGAAAAAAGCAAGCAACGTCATGCAGCCCCATGCAGCATGACTTCTCAAAAGCGCATTGGCAGACGAATAATTCACCAACGACGCTGGCTACACAGCCCCACCTTCTCGTGCTTGAGGGCGGCTGCGGGGATCTTGACCTTGGAGTTCCCGCTGTCCGGCCCTTGCCAGCGCATCTTGAAGACCTCGCCGCCGCCCATCTCGCACATGTCCACCACCAGCTCGTGGGCACCCGGCTTGAGCATCTTCTGGCTGCTGCCCTTCTCCGTCTCTCCGTGGCAGCCGTTGTTGTCGACGACCTTCTCCCCATTCAAGTACATGAGGGAGCCTCACACAACCACATCTTGGGAGCAGCTCATGTTGGCGCACGTCTCCTTCTTTTACCCCATGTTCCCTTCCCTCCCTTCTTGTGATTTCTGCCCGGGGGCCATCGTCGGAGGCCAGGAAGAACTTGTAGTTGCCCTCTTTCTTGGTGACCAGCCGGCCCGTGCACCTGAGACCACCACCCCTTGATGGATCTCTGCACTCACACGGCCCCACATCCCCTCATGCCCCCCCCCGGCCTGGTGCAGAACCGATCGCCCTGACGTACGTCCGGGAACTTGCCGTTCGTCTCAGGGCAACAGCGCGAGGCGTGAATGCGATGGACCGAAGACAGGCCCCCAAACCCGACAGCAATCGATTCCCCTCATCCGAGGGCTCAAGAGTACCCTCTTGGGAGTCTTCAGGGTGGCTTGTAGAGATCACTTAGGAGGTGCATCATACAGCAGAACCCAGTTTGGCAATCCCGGGGCCATGTAGATCTCCGGCACGGTCACACGATGGGCTGCGGTCCTCTTCTTGACCAGAGTGCGACAACGTTGTCCAATGCAGCTCTGGGCTAAGCGGCAAACCCTAAACCCTAAACCCTAAACCCGCTTGGTGTAGCTGGGGTAAAGACCTTCGGGTTCAGGGCAGGTCATGGTGGGTCTCAGGGGATGGAGGAGGTGCTGACAGTTGAACGGCTTGACTTGCATACCCTAAACCCTAAACCCTAAACCCTGAACCCTAAACCCTAAACCCTAAACCCTAAACCCTAAACCCTGAACCCTGAACCCTAAACCCTAACCTGCTGCTGAGAGTCAGTGTGCCAAGGTCCGGGATGTTGCACTCGGACTTGTCGTAGAAGTAGTCGCACTCCAAGCCGTCCTCCAGCTCCACCTGCTTGGTGTCTTGAGGAGCGGTTTAGGGTTTAGGGTTTAGGATTTAGGGTTTAGGGCTTAGGGTTTAGGGTTTAGGGCATAGGGTTCAGGGCTTAGGGTTTAGGGCTTGGGGCTTAGGGATTGCTGCTGAGGGTTTGGGGTTTAGAGCATCATTATATTCCTTACACATGTGCGGGAATCCTATGTCCTTAGGTCTGCACTTTTCCCTTCGGTTGCACTCGCGGATGATTTCTTGCGTTGGCTGAGTGGCTGTTTCCCAAAATCAGGGAAATACCTTCCCCCAACCCCCACCCCCCCCCCCCCCCAAAGAAAAAAACAAACAAATAAATAAATAACAACAAATGAAGACACTAGTCAGCCCGCCCCCTCACTCTTCTACGGTTTTAGGACTGGGGGATTTGGGCAGGATTTGCGTCTCGGGCTTGAAAGTTAGGGTTGAGTATCTCTGGTCATAAGGCTCAAGGTTTAGGCTGTTTGTGCACGACATGTGCAGGCTTGGCACATGACACCATGCAGCAGGGATGGTCATGTTGCGAGGGATCTGCAGGCTTGCCCCTAAACTCAAAATGCATGCTACACCCCTAAACCCAAGGACCGTACCCTCTAGACGCTGGGCTCTAAGCCAGACATCTGTTTCAAGCAACTTCCTTTAAGCCCTGTCCAGCCCCACAAGCCCTAAACCCATTAGATAAACCCACAAGAACAAATCAAGTCGAAATAACTGACAAATCATGCGAAAATTGAGTGAAAATCAAGTGCTATGCAGCTGCAAAAGAAAAGATTTGGGGTTCCTGAGGCAGAACCTAAAAACCCAACCCTGCCTTGGGGTGCTTGAGGGCCTTTGCCGGGATCTTGACCTTGGAGTTCCCGCTGTCCGGCCCTTGCCAGCGCATCTTGAAGACCTCGCCGCCGCCCATCTCGCACATGTCCACCACCAGGTCGTGGACGCCTTTCTTCAGGAACTTCTGATCACCCCCTCTCTCCGTCTCTCCGTGGCAGCCGTTGTTGTCCACGACCTTCTCCCCATTCACATACATCAGGGAGCCTCGCGCAGCGCGCATCACACCACACCGTGTTCTAGCCTTTCTCTCACCCTAGCTAAGCATTCTCGTGCCCAGGGGCCATCGTCGGAGGCCAGGAAGAACTTGTAGTTGCCCTCTTTCTTGGTGACCAGCCGGCCCGTGCACCTGAGAGCGAAACCCCCGTGAGGATCTATGCACTCACACGGCCCTTCACCGGCCGAGGCCACGCATATCCCCCTCATGCCCCCCCGGCCTCGTGCAGAAACGGTCGCCTTGACGTACGTCCGGGAACTTGCCATTCGTCTCAGGGCAACAGCGTGAGGGGTGCGAGAGCTGTGCATTGTACTTCCCCCACAAGAATCAAGCGACGTCCCTGAAACGGCACTCACTTGCAAAAGCAACCCCAAATCCTAGAATCCCGTTTCTAGCAATCCCGGTCCATGTAGATCTCCGGCACGATCACGCGGTGGGCCGGGGTCCTTAGAGCGATGTGCTCAAACAGCTTAGGGTTCAGGGTTGAGCGTTGAGGGTTGAGGGCTTAGGGTGGACCCTAAACCCCAAACCCCAAACCCCGAACCCCAAACCCCAAACCCCAAACCCCAAACCCCAAACCCCAAACCCTAAACCCTAAACCCTAAGGATTCTTGCCAAGCATCAGTGCGCCGAGGTCTGGGACCTGGCACTGAGACTTGTCGTAGAAGTAGTCGCACGCCAAGCCGTCCTCGAGGCCAGCCTGCCCACGGCCGCATGCACTTCGGACGCTAAACCCTAAACCCTAAACCCTAAACCCTAAACCCTAAACCCTAAACCCTAAACCCTAAACCCCTAAACCCTGTAAACCCTAAACCCCTAAACCCTAAACCCTAAACCCTAAACCCCTAAACCCTAAGTGCCATGTCCCGCTTCTGCGAGCCGTCACATCCCAGCAAGTCCCCCAAAACCCGAAATCCGAAACCCTCAAACCCTCAACCCCAAACCCCAAACCCTGAACCCGTCACCCTAAACCCTAAACCCTAAACCCTAAACCCTAAACCCTAAACCCTAAACTTAAGACCCTTGCACCCACCCCCCCCCCCCCCCCGTGACCAGCCAATGCAGGCCTCTTCCTCGCTGATTTCCTGAAGGCGCGGTGGGCGGAGGTGTGGGGTTTGTGGCCTGGGGTTTAGGGTTTAGGGTTTAGGGTTTAGGGTTTAGGGTTTAGGGTTAAGGGTTTAGGGTTTCGGGTTTGGGGCTTATAAGGGCCTATGCAGGGCTGTAGGCACTTTCTCAACCTTTGAGGATTCAGGGCTTTCAGGGTTAAGGGTTTGGGGCTTAGGGTTAATGGTTAAAGGGGTTTCGGGTTTGAAGGCCTTAATAAGGAGTGGGTGAGTTTGGGGGATTGAGGGTTGTCACAAGGGTTATGGCTTTAAGGGTGTTGGGGTCTTAAGGCATGGGGTCGGTGGAGAGCGGCAGGATGTAGGGTTGGGGCATAAGGCCCAGACAAAACCCTAAGCATTATGGGGTCTCGCGGTTCACCTTGAACCCTAACCCCAAACCCTAAAACCTTAAAACGAAAAAACCCTAAAACCTTAAAACCTTAAAACCCTTAAAGCCCTAAAAACCCGAAATCCCTCAACCCCAAATCCTAAAGCCCAAAACCCAAAAACGCAAACCCCGAGACGCGTGAAACCCCAACCCCTAACACCCGAAAACACCTAAAACCCTGAAAACCCCAAACCCCCAAAACCCCACAACCCCCAAAACCCTAAACCTTAAAGAGCCCAAAACCCCAAAATCCCTAAACCCCTACAACCCCATATACCCTAAACTCCTTAACCCTAAACCCCCAATCGCCCCCGAAAAAAAAAAAAAATCTAGTTCTTAGTAGGGAATGGGGGGAATGAGGTCCTTTGAATATATGATTCAGCCCCGGCGGGCCCCCCCCCCCTCCCCCCCCCCCCCCCCCCTACCCCCCCCCCCCCCCTGTGGTGTGGTTGGGGGTTGGTTTTAGGGTTTTAGGGTTTAGGGTTTAGGGTTTAGGGTTTAGGGTTTTAGGGTTTTAGGGTTTTAGGGTTTTAGGGGTTTAGGGTTTTAGGGTTTAGGGTTTAGGGTTTAGGGTTTAGGGTTTTCCCGCGGATGGGGTACTAAGATGATCCCCCCCCCCCTGTGGTGTGGTTGGGGGTTGGGTTTTTAGGGTTAGGGTTTAAGTTTAAGACTTAAGGTTTAGGGTTTAGGGTTAGGGTTTAGGTTTTAGGGTTTAGGGTTTAGGGTTAGGGTTTAGGGGTTTTTGGGTTTAGGGTTTAGGGTTTAGGGTTTAGGGTTTTTAGGGTTTAGGGACCGTAGGTAGACTTGGGGGGGGGGGGATACCATGGGGGGGGGGGGTGGGGGGGGGGGGGGCCCAGGACGCTCGACGCTGAACCATATATAAGGGGACGTAGGGTTCCCCATTCCCTCATGCCCTAAACCCTAAACCCTAAACCCTTTAAACCCTAAACCCTGAACCCTTTAAACCATAAACCCTTTAAACCCTTTAAACCCTTTAAACCCTTTAAACCCTTTAAACCCTTTAAACCCTAAACCCTAAACCCTAAACCCCTTGAAAGGTGCCTCCTTGAACTTGAGAGCCGACTCAGGGATGGTGACCTTGGAGTTTCCGCTGTCCGGGCCTTTCCAGCGCATCTTCAGGACCTCGCCGCCACCCATCTCCTTGGGGCACCAGAAGGAAGCCGAAATTTGGGGGGTTAGGGTTTAGGGTTAAGGGTTAAGGGTTTAGGGTTTAGGGTTTAGGGTTTAGGGTTTAGGGGGTTAGGGTTTAGGGGGTTAGGGTTTAGGGTTTAGGGTTTAGGGTTTAAGGCTTAGGGTTTAGGGTTTAAACCTTAGGGTCTAGGGTTTAGGATGCAATATGGAACCTAATTTAGAGAACTGTCCATGTACCCGAGTATGGAAAACCCTAAGCCCTCCCTAAACCCTAAACCCTTTACTGGTTCATTTCTTGGGCCAAAGGCTCGCACATGTCCACGGCCAAATCATGTCGACCTGGCTTTAGGAACTTCTCACTGCTGCCCCTCTCCGTCTCTCCGTGGCAGCCGTTGTTGTCCACCACCTTCTCCCCGTTCAAGTACATGAGGGAGCCTCACACAGCAAGTGCGCGCCCTAAACCCTAAACCCTAAACCCTAAACCCTAAACCCTAAACCCTAAACCCTGAACCCTAAACCCTAAACCCTAATCCCTTCCTAGCATCCTTTGCCCAGGGGCCATCGTCGGAGGACAGGAAGAACTTGTAATTGCCCTCTTTCTCGGTAACCAGCTGGCCGGTGCACCTTGGGACGATGCAGAATCTCGCTTTTTGGCGACTTTGGGCGTACACGATAAACCGGACGCCCTACCACAAGGCCTGGTGAAGCCTTCTAAACCCTAAACCCCAAACCCCTAAACCCTAAACCCAAACCCCAAACCCCAAACCCCAAACCCCAAAGCCCTAAGCCCTAAGCCCTAAGCCCTAAACCCTAAGCCCTAAACCCTAAACCCTAAACCCTAAACCCTAACCCTAAACCCTAAACCCTAAACCCTAAACCCTGAACCCTGAACCCTGAACCCTGCGGCGGCACCTGATGCAGAAGCGATCGCCCTGGCGCACTTCCGGGAACTTTCGGTTCTCCTGGCCCAGAGATCTATGGATCTAGGTTTCAGGGCTTGGGGTTAAGGGTTAAGGGTTGAGGGTTTGGGCCATAAACGGCTTAAAGTGTAAGGCTTAGGGCTAAGGGCTTCGGGGTTAGAGCTTGGGGCTTAGGGTGTAGGGTTTAGGGTCTAGGGTTTACTAACAGCATCCTGCGCCACGAAGCAGGCAACAGCATGCTGACGAAACCCGATATACCCTATACCTACACACCCTTTATACTCTATAGTCTAAAGACCCTAAATACCCTATAAACCCTTTATACCCTTTATACCCCATATACCCTATATGCCCTATTTCCCTACGTACCCTATGTACCCCATGTGCCCTATGTACTCTAGTTGCCCTGTGTACCCTTTATATATATATATACATATATTCATTCCTTTTTCTAAATCCTAAACCCTAAACCCTAAACCCTGGCAACCCTACGCCCCTGAGACTCGACGGTCCATGAAGATGTTCGGTACAATCACCTCGTGGGCCGGCGTCCTGGCGCAGTTCAGAGAGGGCTCAGGGGAGATGCCCAAGAATCCGAAGTTAGGGTTTAGGGTTTAGGGTTTAGGGTTTAGCGTTTAGGGTTTAGGGCTTAGGGTTTAGGGTTTAGGGCTTAGGGTTTAGAGTTTAGGGTTTAGGGTTGAGGGTTTAGCGTTTAGGGTTTAGGGTTCAGGATTCAGGGTTGGTGCCTGGGGTTCAGGGTTTAGGATTTGACCCAACACCCTCAAGAACTCACGCTTGTGCTGAGGGTCATGGCGGCCAGATTCGGGACATTGCAGTCGCTCTTGTCGTAAAAGTAGCTGCACTTCAGGCCGTCTTTCAAGCCAGCCACCTGCATCCGCCAAGGTTTAGGGTTTAGGGTTTAGGGTTTAGGGTACGGGGGGACAACCAAGGAAGGAAATCAACTCCCCTAATCGCCCTGAACTTATATTTCCCAGATCGAACCAAGAAACAACCAAGAACACGGATAAGAGCAACCCAGGGGGGAAGGAAAGGGGGAAGGAATCCACACCCTTACCAAACCCTAAGAACCCAGGCACTACTTTTTGAACTTGTGGCTTTCTGTTCAAGCCCATCTTGAGCCAAATACGATTACCGGGTTCATTAACCCTTCCAACTTCCAACACTAACTCCTTTCTACAATACCAATTGCAGCTCCGCACTCCCCCTGTCCTAGGATTTCCTAGGACACATTGGAGATGCAGATCTTTTGGCCAAAAACTGCCATTACGGCAGCAGCCAGCTGCTTGAAATGCAAATTGTGGTTTAACGTCTTCCAGGACGGAATTATAGCACATTGGCTAACCTACTACCCATAGAGAATCTTTTTTCACCTTGATCCTCTCATCACTGAAGACTCCTTGGCCTTCTTCACCACAAACCGTGGTCTTCGCTACGCGAAAAGCTACTGACTCCTACTATCAGGGATTTCCATACCCTTAATAGTAACCACCACCTTTGTCAGCACATTGGCTGTTCCAGCGCACCGGTCTCCAGAAAGAGAAAAACCATCCCTTCATCCATACCATCCAATCACTTCTTTTTCCGATTGTTGGCAATCTTGAGGTGAAGTTGCAGCAGAATATACTCCAGGTCCGAAATCGTAAGAATAGGATCCTGTATGCCCCTTTGAATTGAGGATACCAATCCTTCTCTCTTCGCATCCTCAATCGCCTGGCAAGATTGATCCAGCTCTTCATTCGCATTGGCAGACCCTGGTGCCTCCGCATCGGATGGACGATCCTTTTCCTCAGGATCTTGCACCATTACCACCTCTTCTTTTTTGGGACTCTGACTTTTCTCCTTCTTCTTTGTCTTTCCACCGACATTTGACTTTGTGCGCGCTTTTGAGGCTTTTTCCACTGCAGAAACCACCACATTGGATGATGATCCACCCTTCTCAATGACCGCCGGCATCTTCTTCGGCTTTGGAACCATGAGGGTATAAGGATCTTCGATAGCTGCAGCTTTCCTCTTCTTTTTTACCTTTTTCTTCTCCTCCTCAACGGCAACCTCCGTCTCCGAAGTCTCAACCACTTCTTTTTCGGCAGGAATATCTTTGCTGGACTCCCCTTCTAGGGACCTCTTTTTCCCTTTTTTGGGATCCTTTTCTTCTCCCAAATTGGCTCGCTCATACCATATCCTCAGGTCATTGACCCATTCTTCCACCTCCGCGAGCGAAACATCGTACGACTTCACTACTTCGAGAAGTTCCAGCACTGACAACATTTCAGTGGTCCACGAAACCCATACTTGATCCATGTAGTCAGCATCTCCAGTGATCTTCAGGAGTTTGAACAATGGGTCCGCCTCTGCTCGAGCCAAATCTGACTTGCCATTGGACAGAAATGAAATCGCCTCCATCAACAGTTCCGTCATCTTGGTCTCTTCGTCATAAACCATAAAATCCTCCTCATCATCACCGAACTGTTCAGGAGAGATCTCCTTTTTTCCACCATTTGCACCAGACTTTCTCCTTGGACCATCCCTTGGGGGCGTCCTTGGAGACCTTGGCCTCTGTTTTTCCAACGGAACCTCATGTCCAAAGACACACCTGTCACCAAACCGACACTTCCCAGACCGAGCAAACTGGACGCACCTCACACCAGTTGCATCATGCGAGAACTCACAATCCTTTCCAGCGAAACATTCTCTCCCTGCCACATAGTACTTGCACCAATATGAATGTAGCACCACATCATCTTCGGAATGGATGAATTTGCAGTCGTCACCAAATTTGCAGCGATCTTTCCCTTTGCCAAACCAATAGCAGAAACCCTTCTTCCTCTTCTCCAAGCGCTCTGCCTCATACCGGTCCATAGGGCGACTGTGCTCTACATGAACATTGCCATGTACCTGGGGACTGCTCCCTTCACCCGACGTGCTATCAGTATTTGGTGCTTGGAGTACAGCTGGAAAACCTGGCCTTGGTCCTACCACCTTCATGATCGGTTTTCCGCCAACTCCTGAGCCATGCTGAGACGATCCAAAAACATTGAACATCTTCATGAAGGCCTTCCTAGCGCCAATCTTCTGCACCCTTTTGATTGGACGTTTCATTGCTCCAACCTTGCATCCAGATGCATTCAAACGACGCAACCTTCTAAACCCAACTCTATGTCCCTTCTTCCAAAGAGCCATAAGAATTTTAGAGGCAGTAACATTCTCCACCTCTACCTTTTCCAATGATCCCTCACTTCCCGGAACAAACCCATCCATCTCTGAAGACCTTTCCATCTTTTTTGACACCACTTCGTCGAGGTAGTCTTCTGAAATCCAGGGAAAGTTCCCCTTAGAGGAAGGATTGTCATCATTGTTTGGTCCTTCACCAGGATATCCTTTGGTGCTGTCAAAGATCTTACCAGTAGTGCGGTCCTGCATAGAGAAATTCGAAGCCACGCGGGAGTACACTGACCACAAGAAAATCCTTGTGTCCGCCAGTCTGGATGACCCACTGGATTTCTCCTCTTCCGGAGAAACTTCTGGCGCTTTGCCCTTCCCTCCAGTGTCACCGCTTGTCTCACCTCCAGCATCTTCAATGGGAATAAGGGATTCATTGTTCCCTTGATCAAGCACCGCATCCTCTAGTCCAAGAACTTCCAGCATCGCTGTCGAAGGATCCACCTCCTCATCCGCATCGTCGTCCATCCTTCTCCAGAGAGCCTCCAATTGGTCCGCACAAGTCGCCGCTTGAAGAAACTCCATCAACCGAGCCCTCCCGCGCTGCCAGAGAAATTCTGAAACCATCACCGACCCTTGTGCTCCCAGATTCAGGAATGGGTGAACCATTTTGGCTACCCTCGCCATAAGTTCAATATGAACTTCCATGCCTGGACTGCGGCTCCAATCATAGGCAATTGCCTCCATAGCAGTACCAAACTTGTCCGTATTCTTGAATTCCCCTTCCAGACCAGGAGACAACAAGGCACCCATCACCGAAAGAGGGTAATTCCCCACCGCCGGCAAACACGGGTTGTCATGGAACGAATGATGCAGGTCAGTATAATATCCTTGATCTCTCCTTTGAAAAAGGAGTGTTCCAGGTGCGCCATTGCTGGCCAGACGGTACGATCGGTCAGACCGCGACGCATAACCCAATCAGTTGTTGGCGACTGGATCAGCGTTCCTGGATCATACACCATAACCATTGCACCGTCTCCCATTGACTGATCAGCATCGTCCTCCAGTGCCAGGTTCTCATCCTGTTCGCTTGCACCCTCGGATGACATGCTAATAACCAAATTTCGATCCATCTTATTGGACCCTTTTTGGCAATCTCTTTGCCCCATTGGCAACTTGCCAACTGCAACCTTCCAATAAATTCGAGTCAGAAGGCCTTTCACCAGCAATTGCTGAAGGTCACTCCTCACCGGACCACCATCCAACATCTTCGCATCATTACCACGGAGATCATTGCTCCCGCCTTCTCCTTCTTTTTGGTCGGTCTCCTCGCCAGAAATCTGTACTGCTCCTTCCGGCGCCGTCTCCTGTCCAGCCACTTCATGCCCAGGAAGAACTTGAGCGCTTTCAGAGACATTCACCTGTCCAGCAGCACCTTGCCCAGGTAAAACCTCATCCGTGGAGCCCACCGCCAGCGAACCAACCATAACTGAACCATCCCTTGTTCTTTTTTGAGACCGTTCAGCTCGACGAGAAGGTTGTGGTAGCGAAAAAACTTGTGAAGTCACTTCTTGGCGGGTCTCCCCCCGCGACGCTTTGTCGCGCCCTTCGCCAAGGTGAACCGATTTTTTCGGCCCATCATTGGAGCCTGAAGAACCACTTTGTGGAACATTGCCACGACTCGCAGTTCTCCACGAATCCCTTTCTTGCAAAAAGAGTTCCTTCAGGCGTTGTACCGCATTGGTCTCCTCCTCGCTTGAATCGCTTGAGGAAGCGGCATACGAGACCAAAGCCTCCGCCTGGTCATCATCATCCACCACATCTGCCCACGCTCTGCTGAATGGATACGACAAACCACCACGAGGTTTCACCGGCTCCAGTGGCTTCGGTTTTTCCACCACTTCCGCCAGTTGCACTCGTCGTTGTGACCGAGATCGTGGCACCTGTCGCACCTGTTTTTTGTCCAGCAAGGGCCTTCCCCTTCTTACAGGGTTTGATCTTGACCGATACTTTTTCGTTGGTGGATTCACCGGCGGCATTCCAACTCCCACCAACCGCAGCTTCTGTACGCACAACGGAGACCTCTGCGCAAGCGTCCAACCATCACGGTACCTGACCTTATCAAAAAGCTCCCGATAGGAACCTCTCGGCATAGTTTTTGCACCGGAGTCTTCAGCTTCACGCACCTGAGTGAGGGTTCGCACCGCCGCTCTTCCAGTCCCTTTGTTCCCAGAAGATTGTTGTACCCGTACAGATGCATCAGAAGGAACTGCCTTTTCCGGTCCTCCCGGTCGATATCGGACCTCACCCACCAATTGCAGAATTTTGCATGCGGTCACTTTGTTGATCCCTTTGTCAACCAAATCTTCCACAAAGATGAACTCTTGCAAGTCCGACACATTGGTCACACCAAGCGTAATCATCACCTCACTTACATGAGGGGTATACACCCACAGGTGTGCGTTGCGAGCCATCCAATTTTCAATCGGCTCCTCCGGATTGTGAAGCTGAGTACTAGTGGATGCAGCCACCGAATTCTTTTGCTCATCAGCTTCTACTTCATCCAGAATACCTTTTTCACCATCTTTTTGTGACACATTGGTCATTTGCAGCGCTTTTGGTGCCGAGGATGAGGAAGATTCAGCTCCCCCACTCGCAGGTGGCTGAAAAGTGCTTCTATCCGTAAGCTCCCATCCTCTCTCTTTTTCAAACCGGACCTGATTGGCCACCTGTACCAAATGTTTCAGGAGCGACAGCCGCTCCTCTGACATCTCGTCATGGGAGTACTTGCAGAAATTTAACCCTTTCCGGCAACGTCCTCTGAGGTAATAATCGAAACAGCAATGGTGGAACCCTGCGTCCCTTAGTGACTTCCTGGAAGCATTGTCCCAAGCTTTGCCGGGCTCCCAAGTCCCTTCCAATGCTATGTCATCGTTGTGAAGATACCTGCATGTAGTCCCATATTTACAACCACCTTGATTGTAATACAGACACAGACGACCTTTTGGCTCACCCGACGTAGGCTCACCCTTTGATGCACCTTTGCCAAAATTGTACTTGGCCCGGAAGGCTAAATCCTCCCGCTCCTGCTGTGCCTCATCCACTGTACCTTCCTCTGTGGGAGGGTCACCGATGTTCCCGTCCTCATCATCAGCTTCTTGGCTATTCTTTGGATCAGTTGACCCCCCTTCTGGCCAACCTTCACCGTACCGACGATGCTCATAGGGACACCCATCGCCATTGCGACACCTTCCCTTATTGAAGAACCTGCACAGCTTGCTGTAACCAGGTGACAACACCGTCTTTGGTGTCATGTAAGCCTTTTTGTACTGGTCAGGATCCATGTAGGCTTCCATTGGCTTGTTCTCCCTTTTGCTCATGGATTGCACTGCACCATCAAGCTCCTGCAAAAATAGCTTGGTGTCCAACCAAAGCGCGTTCCAAAACTCCTCTTCCCCTTGATCCAGCACCACTGCCACCGCATCACCCACAACTGGTCGAGAAAATCTCCTTTTCCTACGTGCCAGTTCGAAGAGCGCGTTGTGGTACTGTGTTCGGGAAAAGGTGGTTAACTCCCCCAAACCTGTGTTTTCTGTACCATCAGGCTTCCAACCATCATTTTGCAAGATGCCATACGCGCGCCGAGCTTCCGCATTGAGGAATGCCTGATCCGCAACACACTCCTGTAAATCTTCCATCGGCCGACCTAACAGCATCCCAGTAATTTTGCCAACATAGGCTTCCTCTTCATTTCCATTCTCCAGAAGAGCTTTGTAGATCTTTTCTCCATAAAGTTGCCTTTCTTTTCGTTCTTCAGAAGACAACTCCTGTACCACAAGCTCTTCATCGGATTGCTCTTCCTCCTGTTTCCAGTCCCATTGACCGTTGGAATCTTGGTACCATTGACCAGCATACCATGAATCCGTCCACCACGTACTCCAGCCGCTGGGTTTCCACTTCCGCAGCGTCGAAGAAGAGTCCTCCACGTCCTCTTCCAAAACCAGAAAGGTGTCCAAGATTATGGTACCATCATCTTCCACTCGTTTCACTGTTCCATTGACAGTATCACCAAACTTGAACTGATATGCATTGTTCCCTTCTGCAGGAATCAATACATTCATATCCCCATGGTCCAAAAAGGCTCCATACCCATTGATGCAGCGCACTAGACCCATGATCTCATCTCCCTCTTGATAGCAATGTGGCCCAGGTGACTCCAAGGCTCCCGCTCGGGGCACTTTCTTTACACGCTCTTCAGAAACCATCTCTGTATCATCGGCTCCTGGCGCATCCTTTGTCTTCACCTTTGGGTCACACTGCTCGTCCTGCTCCACGAGTCCCACAAGCTCATCTTTTTTGTGCTCCTGGATTTCAGGACCTCCCTTTTTCTCCGCCAACGGCTTTGCCTCATCTGCTGTAGTTCGCTCGGTGTCGACTTCCGGTGAACTTCCAGACGGCAACGCTTCTCCCTTCATGGGAGTGGACCCATCATTGGAGTCCTTTGTCTCACCTTCTGCAGCAGGCAAATCTTCTTCCACTGCAGGGCAATTGAGTCGATCATCCACGGCAGGCACGCTTTCTTCCACCGCAGGCTCCTTTGGTTCCATGGCCTCCAAAGGAGAATTTCCACCATCATTGACCACAGCTGCCTCATTGGCTCCGGTGTAGCCCTTGTCATTTCGTTCCTCGCTGCTAACTTCAGGTTGCACCAGTGCGTCCACCTGTGAACCTCCATCATCAGCTGCTGCGGAGACCTGCGCCCCATTGTTGCAGTCGCCCGTGGAACGTACCACCACATGCACCTCAACCCGTGCTTCCTTCGCACTCCAGGTAATATCTGGCGCATCAACCCGCGCATCATTGGCGCTCCAGGCCTCATTTTTCAGATCATCCGTGTCTCCAGCTATTCCAGAAGCTTCTTTTTCCCCTTGAATGGCAGAATTCTTGGCACCAAACGAAGAGACCTCCTCAGTCGTAACACACAACTTTTTCTCTCCATCCTCCGAATCTCCAGGACCACCTTCCTGAACAACAGGTACCACATCCACCACTCGCTCTTCTGCAGCCGACACAGTTCCGATCACCTCATTGGGCATTTTCTCTTCTGGATCCACCAATTCCATCGCTGCCCCACCCTCAGAAAGCGCTTCTGTTTCTTCCCGATCCAGGTGTTGAGCTCCAGCGATGTTGGCTTGGTTCCCAGGAATCCCTTCCTCATCAGGAGAACCCGAGGTCGGGGCGTCACCATCAGCCCTAGGACCGCTATCCCTGATAGTAGAGGAAAAATCTTTTTCACCTAAACTATTTACACTACCCTGGAATGCCCTCGTAGACTCAGTCTTCGGAGTAGAGGATGAAGAATCCAGTGCCGCCTCCATTTCCAGCTCATTGCCCAAAGGAGACCCAACCACCTCGTCACTCTTCACCTTTTCACCTACCACCGGCAATGTCCACTTGGTTTCGTGCGTATCCAGGCAGTAATAATATTGTCTCCCATCTTCATGGAGGTGCAATTCCCACATTGTGCCATCACACGCTTGGATCAGATGCTCGTCTTTCCGAAAACCGTCCCTTTCAGAAACCTGTCGCATCTCGTCCTCTTCTTCTGACAGCTGTCGCAACCGTTCAGCCTCCATCTGTAGGATCTCCTCCTCCCCCATGGCGTATTCAGCAGCAGGTGCAGCTTCAAAGCCGTCCGCACCCTTCTGTTTGTGACCGCTTCCACCACCTTGGGAACTCGAAGATGGACCCTTTTTGATCTTGTTCAACGGCCTCCTGGTCGCTTGTAGCACTTCTCCAATCAGATCGGTCTGAGACTCTTGGTCTACCATTCGACCCGAAGTCGAAGACGACGGCTGGTACCCGTGTTTGTGTAACACTCGTAAAACAGTCACCTCCATTTCACGATCTATGCCACCAGTCGCATCCCAGTTCCTTTTTTCACCAGGCTTTGGCGGTACAGAAACAGCACGTCCTTCAGCTTCAGCATTGCTAACCATATCCCTATTGGGATTCATACCCGCATTGGGGCTTTCTGCAACTAAGGCCTCTTCCAGATGTACTTCAGCGTCGGGAATCGCCTCTTCCAACACCGATCTTTCACCCAGAGACTCAGCTGCACCATTTCCAGCTCCACCATCTTGTCCACCATCCGAGGCAAGTTGGAGCCATCGCTTCGGGGAAGGCATTGCTTCTTGATCCCAAAAACCTTAAGACAACACTTAACCGCAGGGAACCTAATTTGGGCTCATAACCTACGGGGGGACAACCAAGGAAGGAAATCAACTCCCCTAATCGCCCTGAACTTATATTTCCCAGATCGAACCAAGAAACAACCAAGAACACGGATAAGAGCAACCCAGGGGGGAAGGAAAGGGGGAAGGAATCCACACCCTTACCAAACCCTAAGAACCCAGGCACTACTTTTTGAACTTGTGGCTTTCTGTTCAAGCCCATCTTGAGCCAAATACGATTACCGGGTTCATTAACCCTTCCAACTTCCAACACTAACTCCTTTCTACAATACCAATTGCAGCTCCGCATAGGGTTTAGGGTTTAGGGTTTAGGGTTTAGGGTTTAGGGTTTAGGGTTTAGGGTTTAGGGTTCAGGGTTTAGGGTTTAGGGTTTAAGCTTAGAATCTCAGGGCCCGGGGACCAGGGCTATCACCAGATGAGCTCTACCCAAAACCCTATCGACCCTCTATCCTGTAGCCCTAAAGCCCGCATGAAGGGTTTAGGGGCTGGGGCGTGGGCAAGATAACTGGCAGCAAAATCGGCTCGAGTGCGGCGCAGAAGGGGGTTTGTCGTTCCTAAGCCCTAGACATCAGGGCTCATGGAGGTTTTGTGTTTACAAGGGGGTTTCCGAAAAACAGGGGGTACCCTTTTTGCGGCTATGTTAAAAGGATTCTAGTATTTTGTGGTAGATGTGGGGGTACCCCTACTTTCGGAAATGAAATCCCCATAAGAACCTGTGGATGACTTGGAGGACTGCTTGCTGCTGCTGGGGTGAGGAAGCTGGCAAAGGTGCAAAATCGTTGCAAAGGCTGAGGCTGTGCCGCCTTGAACTTAGGGGCCTTGCAACCTTCTAGGGCCTCGGGATCAGGGCTGATGTGTTGGGCCTTTGTTGCTTACACGGGTGTGAAACCTGTATTTAGGGTGTAGGGTAAGACTTGGGACGTTCCCCCTTATGCTAACCGTCCTTCATACCTCAGTATAATCCCTATCAAGGACTGTTAGTATAAGGGGGAACATCCCAAGGTAAAACCCTCCACCGCGGACTGCGTCGCCTTGCCGTACTTGAGAGCTGTCGACGGCACGGTGATCTTCGAGTTGCCGGTGTCGGGGCCTTTGTAGCCTTGGCAATTCAGTAAGCATGTTAGAACAAGGGTTTCGGGGTTCAGGGTTCAGGGTTTAGGGTGCCCTTGTTGGTGTTGGTTACGTGTGTACTGGAAGGCTACCAAGTAGCGCATCTTCAGGATCTCGCCACCGCCCATCTCGCACATGTCCACGGTCAACTTGTGCGTTCCCTTCTTCAGGAACTTGTCGCTGCTGCCCCTCTCCGTTTCTCCGTGGCAGCCGTTGTTGTCCACGACCTTCTCCCCGTTCAGGAATAAGAGGGAGCCTGCTGTGACAAACTACCCTAAACCCTAAGCCCTAAACTCCAAACCCTACCCTAAACCCTAAACTCCAAGCCCTAAGCCCTAACCCCAAAGCCCTAAACCTGAAACGCTAACCGCACCCCTAAATGCTCAACCCTAAACCTCTTTGTCTGGTGGGACTCGTGCACTTGACTGCCGCAATAGACCTCGCGCTCTCTTGGATCGTGCTGGGGCGGCGGCCATCGTCCGAGCTCAGAAAGAACTTGTAGTTGCCCTCCTTCTTGGTGACCAAGTGACCGGTGCACCTGTCCAGGCTGCTCTCAAACGAACTTTGGAAGCAAATACTCGTCTATGTACTTCGAGTATCTCCGTCATAAGAAGCTCTTGGCGGGATTCTCAAGAGGCTCTGCCGGATTCGCTGCGCTGAAGTTTGGCACTAGGAAACCCACACCCCGGAAGAGCAATCAACCAAAGCCTGCGCCCCTCTTGTCCGGAATCGAAAACAAACCTCGACCTAAGGATAGTTACATGGGCTCTTGCTCTGGCCCCTTACAGGGTGTATAAGGGGTATCTTTCCCCACTTCTGAGGGCGGCGCGAGGACAAAACAGCACAAGGAAAGTGCAACTGTGACAACACGTGCTTAGGGGTATGCAGGGGGTATTTTAGGGGCTCCCCTTCTAAGGGCCCGTACTCTGGGACCATGGATCTAACTGAGAGACCACACCTGATGCAAAAGCTGTCTCCTTGGCGAACTTCCGGGAACTTGCCATGCTCCTCAGGGGATGGCGAAGGAGGTCGCAAGGATTTAGGTTTAGGGTTTAGGGTTTAGGGTTTAGGGTTTAGGGTTTAGGGTTTAGGATCTAGGGTCTAGGGTTCGCGGCTTAGGGGATTTCGGGGCTTTCCCTTAGGAACCGCATATCTTGGCGTCTTGCATGCTGCCTATAAGAATCTCATCAGAGGCTTTGCTCGCTGAGCAACCGACAACAAAGAAAGGCTTGAGGTTCTTCATGTGCTTTGGCTCCAGCCTTTAGGGTTTAGGGTTTAGGTTTTGGGCTTTAGGCTTTAGGGGTTTAGGATTCCCGGTCCATGAAGATCTCCGGCACCACCACACGATTGGCCGGCTTCCTTCGAGAAGCTTTCTACACTTGCCGTACGAACACGAAAATGAGAGTACGATCCTTTACATTCCATTGGATTGGATAGAACACACACGAAACCCTACACCTCTAAACTCTGAACCCTAAACCCCTAGCCGCCTAAACCCCCCAAATCTCCCAAACTCTAAATCCTATGATTCCTAAAAGGAGACGAGAGCCGGGTGTGTGTGTGTGGGTGTGGGGGTCAATGAAATGCTCGTAGAGAGCTCTTAACACCCCTTTTGGGAGCATACAGGGCATAGGGCTTATGTTGGGATGTTCCTTATACTAACAGTCTAACAGTCCTTCATCGGCATCATAACGGGGGGTACAAGAAATCCCTATGAAGGACTGTTAGTAAAAGGAGGAACATCCCAAGGTTTATGCTTAGGGCTTTTGGGAAAGAATAGCTGGTCCCAGCCGTTGCTACGGCACATTGGGGTTCTGAGATGCTGGGTTTGCCTTGAACTCTAAACCCTGAACCCCCTCAACTCTGAACCCTAAACTCTAAAGTCTGAACCCTAAACACGTAACCCCCTAAGCCCCCTAAACCCTACACCCCCTGACCCCTAATTAAGCCCCCTCAACCCGAAACCCCCTAAACTCAAACCTGAAACTACGAAGAAATGAAACCATATGAGCCTCACACCCTAAACCCTCCACAGCGCTCCCCCTTACCGCCGAGCGTCAGCGTGCCCAAGTCCGGAATGTGACCTTTTTCTTGCTTTAGGGTTTAGGGATTAGGGGATTTAGGGTTTAGGGTCTTCGGGGCTTTAGGGTTTTCTGGGTTTAGGGTGCAGGGGGTAGGGGTTTCGGGTCCAGGGTTGAGGGTATAGAGTTCACGGGTTAGAATGAGCAGTTTTAGGGTTCACATGCTTGAGAACATTGAGGGCTTGGGATTCAGACTTTTTCAGCCGGAGCTCATATGGTTTCAAGCGTAGATTTTAAGGTGCAAGGGTTTAGGTGTTTAGGGGATTTTGCTTTCGGGCTTCGGGGGTCAGGGCGGTTAGGGTTGAGATGTTGAAGGTGTAAAGTTTGGGGTTTGAACCTGAGGGGATTTAGTGGTTGAAGCTGCTGGGACACCCAAAGCCCCTTTCTGGTTCTGGCTCAGGGGTCCTCGTAGTGCCTAACTTCATAGGGCTTGGTGGTGAGGGCCGCCTCAAACCCTAAACCCTAACCCTAAACCCTAAACCCTAAACCCGAAACCCTAAACCCTAAACCCTAAACCGTAAACCGTAAACCCTAAACCCTAAACCCTAAACCCTAAACCCTAAACCCTAAACCCTAAACCCTCTCCCCCTCCTCCCTGCATCGCTTTTCAAGTCCAGGAGCACTGTGACTGGTCATAGAAGTACACGCACTCCAAGCCATCCTCCAGAACCTCCTGAATGGGTGGTGAGGCTTAGGTCTTGGGGCTTAGCGGCTTGGGGCTTATAGGGCTTAAAGGGCTTCTAGGGCTCTTGGGGCTTAGGGCGTAGGATGGCGTAGGGTTTAGGGCTCAGTGCTTGGGCTTGTTTGGGGCTTGTGGCTGTTGAGGGGGGAGGGAGTTGGACTTAAGACTATTGAAGTCTGGGTTTAGGGCTTTAGGGGTCCCACGGTTTGGGGCTCTAGCGCTTAGGGCGTTGTACGCTTTTGGCCCTGAACCCTCAAAGTTCCTGCAATCATGGACTTTAAGCGCTACAACCTTAAGCCCCCTAATTAAACCCCAAGCCCAAAACCCAAAACCCTAACCCTAAGCCCTCAACCCTAAAGCGCGAAAACCCGGACAGGTTTTAGGATTTCGGGTTTAAAGGCCTTGGGGTCCATGCTGCCCATTGGGGCCCTTTAGGGGCCTAGTTGCGGATGAGGGTTTAGGGTTTAGGGTTTAGGGTTTAGGGTTCAGGGTCTATTTGGGGCTCGGGGTTTAAGGTTCAGGGTTCCTGGGCCTTTAACGTCAACAAAATCGGAGAGAAAGCATTTGGTCGCTCGGAACCTGCCTGCTCGGCGATGCTTTCCTCGGGCCGCAAGACGGGTCTTTGAGCGCGAACGGAACCCTAAACCCTAAATCCTTAACCCTAAACCCTAAACCCTAGACCCTAAACCCTAACCCTAAACCCTAAACCCTTACAACCCTAAACATAAGGCTCCAAGTAGCGCAAAGGAAGTATGATTTAGGGACTTTAGACCCCAATGTAGAGATCATTTGTATACTGGGAGCCCCAGGGTAAGGCCCTAAACCCTGAATCCTAAACCCCATGCATGCCAACGTGCTAAGGAAGCCCTGATCAGGTCTTGGGTTAGTTTAAACCACAAAGCCACAAGGCCCCTGACGCTCCTAAGCAAAGCAAACTGGAAATTGCTGGCCCATACCCTCAACCTCCTTCTCTTTTAGCGTAGCTTCCTGATGTGTGGCTGTAGTGGTTTTCGGTTTAACCTTTCCCTGTAAACCCCTTAACCCCCCTAAACCCTAAACCCTACCCTAACCCTAAACCCTAAACCCTGGACCCCAAACCCTAAACCCTAAACCCTAAACCCTAAGCCCTAAATAAGCCCTAAGCCCTAAACCCAAACCCCCCAAAACCCTCCCTACTTCCCTCCTGTTGCGGCCAGAGCTCGCAGCCACTAAGTGTGTAAGGCTCCAGGTCAGCCGCGCACTTCGAAACCTTGGCTCCACTGGCGTAGGGTTTAGGGGCTTACGGCTTTTTGGCTTTAGGGTTTCGGGTGTTAGGGTTGTAAGGTTTTATTTAGGGTTTTAGGTAGGGTTTTGGCGGTTTAGGGTTTAGAGTTTAGGGTTTAGGGTTTGGGGTTTGGGGTTTGGGGTTCGGGGCCCGAGAGCCCTGAAGCCCAAGGGCTTGGAGCTTAAGACGAAGGATGAGGCATTCACCGGGTTTAGGCATTGAGAGCACGAAAGTTACTTTGGTTCTGGGCTTTCAGGAGCTTGGGGTTGAGGTGGTTTAGGGTGCATCAGGGTTTAGGGTGTAGGGGTTAGTCTAGGGTCTAGAGTCTAGAGCTTGAGTGACTCTGTCAAGTGGCAGCAGCAGTTCCTGTGTAGCCGGCGGCACAGGCAGCCTGCACGGCAAAGACCTGACATGGAACGCGCTGCTTTAGTTTCGGGCTTAGGGTCTAGTGTCCAGTGTTTGGAGTGAGGGTCCTGGGTCCATCTTCAAAATTGACATGGACAATCCTCGAAATTGTGGTCGGCTGTTCTGGGGGGGTCCAATTTGGCCTCTTGTGTTTAGGGCGCCCCATCAAGCAACGAAGCAGAACGTAGAGTCGCAGACTGCGGCGGGGCCTCAACACCAAACAGTGTAAACAAACATCGCAGAATCCAGACACGGAGAGCTGCAACAACATCTCAGCCTTATAGGCATTTACAGACCAAAAATCCGAAACCCGAGCCGAAACCCTAAACCCTAAACCCTCAGGTCTCTTGTCCGGGCACGCTCTGGCGCAGGTTCGTCTCGGTGACCAAATAGCCCTCCGTGGAGTCTGGGGCGGTGCACACCTGCCGGGTTTGGGGTTTGGGGTTTGGGGTTTGGGGTTTGGGGTTTGGGGTTTGGGGTTTGGGGTTTGGGGTTTAGGGTTGACGGTTTTGGGTTTGGGGTGTTGGGTGTTGGGTTTAGGGTTTAGGGTTTCGGAATTTGGGGTCTCGTTAACCAGTTTCGGGGCCTCGGATTGACCTGAAAAATCTAGCTTACTTCCTCTCTCGCACTCTCTCTCTCTCTCTCTCTTTGTCTTTTGTGTTTGTTTTCTCTCTCTCTCTCTCTCTCAGTTTCTGATTTTTCGTGGGGTTTCTAGGTTTGCTGCAACGGCGATTCGAATCGGTAGGTCTAAACCGTCTGAACCCGATAAACCCTAAACATTACACAACGAGTCTCGGCGGTCCGCAAAACGCAAGGCACCTCGGTGCTGTAGCTGCAGCCGCTGAGTGTGTAGACCTTCCCCGTCTCTGAGCAGGGTGTCACGGTGGCGGTGCCCTCGTAGCCGATGTCGCACTCCACTTTCACGTCGAAGGTCTGCTGAAGCGTGGAGCTCTCGGTAACTTTGTAACCCTCAGTCCTCGGCTGAGTGGTTTTGGGCAAGGGGATGCTTCAGCCCATCCTGAACCCATCCATGGTGGAGGGTTTAGGGTTTAGGGTTTAGGGTTTGGGGCTTGGGGTTTGGGGTTTGGGGTTTGGGGTTTGGGGTTTGGGGTTTGGGGTTTGGGGTTTGGGGTTTGGGGTTTAGGGGCCCTTACACCTACCCAGCCATCACGCCCAGACACTTGGATGGGCTCACACACATGATCTTCTCCTCGCAGCCGGACAGGGTGTAGGGCGTGAGAGGCCTCGTGCAGGCCGTCACTTGGGCGGTCCCAACGTGCGTGCTCTTGCACGACGCCGTCACGTCGAAGGCATCCTCTGCGTGCGATTTGTGGGTGGGTTTAGTCTGGGGGCTTATCTAGGGCACAGTCTCTCCAAAAGTGTGTGTAGAAGGGTCTGTCTGGGAGGAGTTGAGGTGGATGATGTGGGAATGCCTTTCCCTTATATACCGCACATGGGGCAACCCGAAGAGCAGCAAAATCTCACATGCTGCTAAAGGCAAGCATCCATGGCTGCAGATTTCTCCGCCACATCGTAGCCCTCCGAAGAAGCAGGCGCGTGGCACTTCCTCTCGGGGGAGCAACCACTCAGCGCGTAGGGCTCCAAATTCGAGGAGCACCTGAATTGCACAAAACAAATGGATTAGAATCGGATAGAAGCGCCTTCAGACAAGTATCGACAGCATCTACTCCTAAACCCCAAACCCTAAAGCCTAAACCCTCCAATTCATACGAGCCCAGAAGTCGAATTCTTCGAGGCACGGCGTCACCGCCGCATTGCCGACGTAGTTGGGGGCGCACTCGGCCGACACATCCAGGACCCCCTTGCGCAAGTCCACTTCCGTGACCAAGTAGCCCTCCGTGCTCTCAGGGGCTGTACCTTAAGGTAGCCCAGTAGCCGTCTCATGATAAAGGGTGCCCTTTTTTGGCGGCTGGCTACGTTTTAAGGGAACCTTGAACCAAGAAAATATGGAAAAGGGTACCACTGGGCTAGCAAGGTGCAGGCGCCAGCGAAGGAGCAGCCGCTGAGGGTGTAAGCCTCGCCGCTGGCCGAGCACTTGGCGGCCTTTGCGGTGCCCTTGAAGCCTTCAGCACACTCCACCTGTTAAGGGGTATAAGGAAGGGACCCCTAGAAGGGATCCTTAATTTCATTCCCCTAAATCACCCAAATATGTATACCTAAGTAGCCCTCAACCCTCCTTTACAAGGGACTTTCACATCGAAGGAGTCCACGATGAGGCTGTTCTCTGTGATGGTGTAGCCGTCTGCCCCCTTGGGCGCCAGGCACACCGGACTGCAGCCCGCGAGCACGTAGGGCGTGAGGTGATGCTTGCAACGGGTTGCCGAGGCGTTGCCTGCAAAGGGGGGTGCCCCCTTAAAACGGTTTAGGGTTTAGGGTTTAGGGTTTAGGGTTCAGGGTTCAGGGTTTAGGGTTTAGGGCGGCCCTATCGTACGGCATTCCAAGGCTGGTAAGGTTGATTACTCCACGAGAAGGGACCCCTCCCAAGAAAAGCGAATCAATGACTTTCATCTACCCTCTAACCCGCAACCCGAAACCCTAAAGCTTAAGAGCTTAACCCCAAACCCTGAACCCTACACCCTAAACCCTAAACCCGAGCGGGGGTCTATTTTCTTGTTTTTTTTTGGGGGGGGGGGGGGGGGGGGGGGGGGGAGGGGGGTAGAGAGACTGTTGAAGGCAGCCCTAATGCAGAAGCTCTTCGTTGATGGAAACTGTCAGTATTGATCTCAGCGTTGAGCTATTATAATGGTTTAGGGTGTATGGTGTAGTTTAGGGTTTAGGGTTTAGGGTTTAGGGTTTAGGGTTTGAGGTAGAATTAGGGTTTAAAGTTTAAGGTTCAATTAGGGTTTAGAGTTTAGGGCTTGGGGTCCTTAACCCTTTTGTCCTCAACAAGCCCCCAGTGAGCAATGGAAGATCGTCGTGCGGCATGTCGCAACAAAGCGGATTTACGCACAATGCTATCATCCATTTTCAGAGGAAGCCCCCCGAGAAACATTTGGAAACCCTAACAACCCAATAGACCTAAACCCTACAAACCCTCAACCCCCACCAAAAAAAACTCGGCCTGCAAACCCCAACGCGCAGGACACGGCCACGTCAAACTCACGGCGGATCAGCTCTTTCTCCTCCACCACGTACCCATCCTCGGCTCCCCATGTTATCATGTACTGTCGGGGCCATTTTTGCATTGGGGTCTACTTAGGGTCTACTTAGGGCACCTTAGGGCACCTTAGGGCACTGAGGGCACTGAGGGTTTAGGGTTAGGGTTTAGGGTTTAGGGTTTAGGGTTTAGGGTTTAGGGTTTAGGGTTTAGGGTTTAGGGTTTAGGGTTTAGGGTTTAGGGTTTAGGGTTTAGGGTTTAGGGTTTAGGTTGTAGGGTTTAGGGTTTAGGGTTTAGGGTTTAGGGTTTAGGGTTTAGGGTTTAGGGTTTAGGGTTTAGGGTTTAGGGTTTAGGGTTTAGGGTTTAGGGTTTAGGGTTTAGGGTTTAGGGTTTAGGGTTTAGGGTTTAGCGCAAATTTAACTGGATTGGTCTGTTGGGTGGCGGGGGTGTGTGTGCTTATTGTACAGCTCTCAGAAGGCGAAAAGGTTGGTTCGTGGACTTCTGCATGTCGAGGGTTTTGAGGTCGCGGATCCTTGAATCCTAAACCCCTGAGCCCTTACAGCCTAAACCCAAATTACGAGAACTCGTGGGCAGTGCTCTGGATGCTCGTAACTTCTTTTCGTAAGAATCCCCTAAACCCTGAACCCTAAACCCTAAACCCTAAACCCTAAACCCTAAACCCTGAACCCTGAACCCTGAACCCTAAACCCTAAACCCTAAACCCTAACCAAAACAAACATCTCCGGCTGCCGCGCAAGGTGCAGTGTTCTCCGGGGCGGTGCCTTGAGCTGCTTGAGCTCAGGGGCTTAGGGCTCGTTGGGAAATCGAGTTCGAACCTACAAGCTGCCCTCGTAGCCCTAAACCCTAAACCCCAAACCCTAAACCCTAAACCCTAAACCTGCAAGCCTGCTTTACAAGAGTACGAGAGGGTCAGGCGTCAGGGGGTTGGAGCCTCGGGAGCTCCACCGGGTTAGGGTTGAGGGTTTAGGGTTTTGGGAAGATTTCAGGACCTGTTTTTGTTGAAGGGCACGTAGGTGAACAGGGTTTGGGGTTTACGGTTTAGGGTCTAGGGTCTAGGGTCAAGGGGGTACCCCCCCTTCCGAGCCATAAGCCCCAAACCCCCAAACCCTAAACCCCTTCCCCCCTAAAAAACGACTGAACAAAAGCCCGGGTGCAGACGGCGTTCGTGCGGCACCCGCTGAGCTGGTACTTCGCGAAGGTTTCGTTCTCGGCAAAAGAGGTGTTTTTTTTTTAACCCACTACTGGCGTACTGGTGGCGGGGGGGGGGGGGGTGCTTATGGGGTTTAGGGAAGAGGGTGAATCTTCTGCAAAAAACATGTAAGGTTTAGGGTGGAGGGCTTAGGGCTTAGGGTTTAGGGTGAGTTCCGAGGTTGAAGCAAAGCAACAGCTTGAGTTTCGCCCCGGGGATTCTGCCACTCCCGCGCTGGTCCCCCTAAGAACCCTTTATCCTAAACACCCAAGAGCCTATGCATCCTCAAACCCTCAATCCTAGAACCCTCAACCCTAAACCCTAGGGCCCTCAACCCTAAGCCCGAACACCCTAAACCCTAAACCCTTAACCCTTAAACCCCAAACCCTAAACCCTAAACCCCTACACCCTTGAAGCCTAAGCCCGTCGAGGGACGCACTTGGTCACCGTCGCCGTCATGCTCGGATCCAGGGCACACTCGGCTCTCACGTCGAAGGAGTCCACGTCGAGGGAGCCTCGGCTGGCCAGGGATTAGGGTTCATAGGGCTTTAATGGGGGTTTAGGGTTTATAGGGTTTACAGGGTTCATAGGGTTTGTTGGGTTTATGGGGGTTATAGGGTTTATAGGGTTTAGGGTGTAGGGTTTATGGGGTATAGGGTATAGGGTTTAGGGTTTAGGGTGTAAGTTTCGGGCTTCTAGGGTATACACGGGTTTCCCCAGAGTTTGGGGTTTGGGTATGCTTTGGATCCATTGTAGGGTTTGGGCTTCGAGGGTTTTACAGTTTTGGATTTGGGGTTTAGAGTTTAGGGCTTCGGGTTCAATTAGGGACCTAAACCCTGTAAACCCTACAAGCGCAGTAAGCCCTGTAAACCTCATCAACCCGATAAACCCTGCAAACCCCATGAACCCTAGAAGCCCCAATGAACCCAATAAGCCCTCTAAGCCCTAAACCCTAAACCCTAACCCTAAACCCTAAACCCTAAACCCTCAACCCCAAACCCTAAACCCTAAACCCTAAACCCTAAACCCTAAACCCCTTTGAGGACTGCCGAGGTGCGCTCATCGATGGCGTACCCCCTTGACTCGGCAGGCGCCTGGCACTTTCGACCTCGCGCATAGGAAAAGGCTTGGCTCGAGGAAGTGTATGGGGCTTGGGGGTTGAGGTCTTGGACCCCCCGAACGCATTTATAGGGTTTAGGGTTAGGGTTTAGGGTTTAGGGTTTAGGGTTTAGGGTTTAGGGTTTAGGGTTTAGGGTTTAGGGTTTAGGGTTTAGGGTTTAGGGCTTAGGGCTTAGGGCTTTAGGGCTTTAGGCTTTTGGCCTTAGGGTTTAGGGCCTAGCTTAGGGCTTGGAGGGTTTAGGGATTACAGATTCTCAGGGCTTAGGGCGGCCGAGGGCAGGGGAGGGTATGGAGCCCGTAATCCCACATGCTCAACCCTAATCCCTAAACCCCAAACCCGGGTTTAGGGTTCAGGGTTTAGGGTTTAGGGATTACGGTTCCAGAGCCCTCCTTCAAGACAAAACAACACAAACCGAGTGGCGAAGCTTATAAGGACTTGGTTGAGAGCTTAGAGCACCCTCAGCCCTCAACCCTACAATGCATTTAGCGTTTAGCGTTTAGCGTTTAGCGTTTAGCGTTTAGCGTTTAGCGTTTAGCGTTTAGCGTTTAGGGTTTAGGGTTTAGGGTTTAGGGTTTAGGGTTTAGGGTTTAGGGTTTAGGGTTTTTAGGGTTTGGGGTTTAGGGTTTAGGGTTTAGGTCTGCCATCGAGCTGCTCCACTTGCAGCCTTTCAGCTTGTAGCTCTCTCCAGGCTGCTCGCAGGGCGCCACCACCGCCTGCCAAGGGCCGAAACCCGAAACCCTAAACCCTAGACCCTAGACCCTAGACCCTAAACCCTAAACCCTAAACCCCAAACCCTCACCTCTTTTCTCCCCCCCCCCAAGAGGCCTTGCCAAGGTATCCCTCCCAGCACTGGGCCTCCACCTGGGCTGTAGACTGTAAGGGTTTAGGGCTCAGGGTTAGGGCTTAGGGCTTAGGGCTTAGGGCTTAGGGCTTAGGGTTTCGGGTTTAGGGTTTAGGGTTTAGGGGTTTGGGGTTTGGGGTTTGGGGTTTAAGGCTTCGGCTGACTGGGGCTTAGGGGCTCAGGGGGTCCAAAGGTTTGGGCTTTAGGGTTTAGGCGTTCAGGGCTTCTGCTTGAGGGGGCTGGGGAGTGATGCCTTCGAAAGACAAGGAGAGCCCTCAACCCGAAACTTGAAGGCAGCGGGGTTAGGGTTTAGGGTTTAGGGTTTCGGGTTTAGGGTTTAGGGTTTAGCTTCGGGTTTAGGGTTTCGGGCATCGGGTTTAAGGTTTGGGGAAGCCGGTGGAGAACCCAGAGAGGAAAACTTCGGCTCGATATGCTGCCAGCAGTGGGGGGGGCGCTCACTAGGCCGACCCCGCCGTACAGCGAAAATCAAACCCTGAACCTCAAACCCCGAACCCCAAAGACAAAAAACTAAACCCAAAAACCCTAAACCCCAAACCCCAAACCACAAAACCCTGGCAATCAAACCCTGAATCCCACACCCCGAACCCCAAAGCCCACTAAACCCAAAAACCCTAAACCCCAAACCCTAAACCCTAAACCCCGAACCCTAAACCCTAAACCCCAAACCCTAAAAACCCTCAGCCACAAACGAACCTACCGAGCTGCATCGAAGTCGTCAATGTGTATCGACTTCACCTTCAGGTCGTAGCCTGCGGGGGCGGCTGGCCACTTTCATGTCTGGCTTAGGGGTTAGTGGGTTTAGAGGGTTTAGAGGGTTTACAGAAATGATAGGGCTTATAGGTGTACAAACTTTTTTCTAGGGCTTATAGGGTCAACAGGGTTTGTTGGGCTTGCAGGGCTTAGAGGGTTTCTAGGGCGTTTAAGGGTGTAAAGTGCTTACAGGGCTTCTAGGGCTTCTAGGGTTTGTAGGGTTTGTAGGTCTTCTGCGGTTTATGGGGCTTACTCTATACACCCGGGAGGCCCAAACCCCCAATATCAACCTAAACCTCATAAACCCTAAACCCTACACCCTACACCCTAAACCCTGAACCCTAAACTAATCACTAAGCTGAAAACCCGAAACCCTAGACCCTAAACCCTAGACCCCAAACCCTAAACACTGAACCCTGAACCCAAACTCAAACCCCAATAGAAACCTACAAATCAGCTCCCTCCATGCGCCCCAGTGCCCAAAGCCACCCACACCTCCACGAAACTGCGCACTCGGACGGGTTTAGGGTTTAGGGATTAGGGTTTTGGGCCTTAGGCCCTAAGAGAAAGCGCACCACTCCCCGCCTTGCACGTCTGAGGGTGGAAGGCAGTCAGCCGACGTGACCTTGGCCGAGACGCAACGTCTGAAACACCCAGGATACCGCCGACCCCGAAATCCCCGAACCCGCAACTTGATGACTCCTGAACCCCCTAAACCCTAAACCCTAAACCCTAAACCCTAAACCCTAAACCCTAAACCCTAAACCCCGAACCCTAAGCCCAGGAAACGCCCTGACAAGGCATGACATCGAACTTCACTCTGAGGTGCTGTGGTGGTGGTTGTGGAGGTACTGGTAGTGGTGGTGGTGCTGGTGGACGTCGTCGAGGTCGTGGTTTTTGTGCTCGTTGTGGTGCTCGTCGAGGTCGTGGTCGTGACGGTCGAGGTCGTGGTCGTGGTTGTTGTGCTGGTTGTGGTGGATGTCGTCGTGGTTGTGGATGTCGTTGTGGATGTGGTGGTCGTTGTGCTAGTACTTGTAGAGGTTGTGGTGGTCGTGGTGGTGCTGGTTGTGGTGGAGGTTGTCGTGGTGGTTGTCGTGGAAGTGGTCGTGATCGTAGTGGTTGACGTGAGAGTCGATGTTGTGGTGGTTGTGGTGGTGGTTGTCGTTGTAGACGTGGTAGTTGTCGTGGTTGTAGAAGTACTGGTCGACGTCGTAGTCGTTGTACTTGTGCCTCAGCGCCACACAAAAAGAGGGAGACGCCAACCTCTCAAGCAAGCCTATCATACGCATGCAAGCCAATGGCCATTGGACAGGTCAACGTGCTTTGGGATCCAGGGGCCTGCAGCTCGCGGCAATTCATCATCACACTTGGCATGTGTTAGTTGCAATGCGGCTATGGCATACTTTCATGGCCCCTGATACCAGCGAAACCTAAGCCCTAGACCCTAAACCCTGAACCAAAAACTGCGTTTTAAAGTGAAGCCTCTATTGGTCAAGCCGCTGTTTAAGCCCTAACTTTGCACCGAGCCCAAACTGTCTGCAGACAAGGCGCTGGTTGACGTCGTGGTACTTGTAATTGTAGTGGTTGTTGTGCTGGTTGTGGTTGTAGTACTGGTGGATGTGGACGTGGTAGTGCTTGTAGTCGTCGTCGTTGTAGTGGTCGTGCTGGTGCTTGTCGTAGTCGTAGTTGTTGTAGTGGACGTTGTCGTCGTGGTCGTGGTTATGGTTGTTGTGCTCGTTGTCGTTGTTGTACTTGTACTCGTGGTTGTGGTTGTAGTTGACGTGGTGGTGGTAGTCGTTGTCGTCGTCGTGACGGTGCTCGTTGTTGTGCTAGTGGTAGTGGTGGTGGAAGTGGTTGTGATAGTTGTAGTGGTGATGGTGGTTGTGCTGGTGGTTGTGGTGGTGGTACTGGTGATCGTGGTAGTTGATGTCGTTGTGACAGTGGTTGTGGTCGTGGTAGTAGTGGTAGTGGTTGTGGTGGTCGTGCTCGTCAGCGTGGTCGTGCTTGTGGATGTTGTTGTTGTGGTAGTGCTGGTGGTGGTGGTAGTCGTGATGGTGCTAGTTGTCGTAATTGTTGTTGTGCTGGTGGACGTCGTTGTTGTGGTGCTCGTCGATGTGCTGGTAATTGTTGTCGTGGTTGTGCTCGTGGTCGTTGATGTCACAGTAGTGGTTGTGCTCGTGGTCGTACTCGTGGTGGTTGAGGTCGTGGTGCTTGTAGAGGTTGTCGTTACAGTTGTCGTGGTCACGGTGGTGGTAGTGGTACTTGTAGTCGTCGTTGTCGAGGTGACTGTTTGAGTGGTGGTGGTTGTCTCCGTTGTCGTGCTCGTGAGAGTGGAAGTGGTAGTGGTGGTGCTGGTTGTTGTTGTGGTGCTAGTGGTTGTGGATGTTACAGTTGTGGTAGTAGTTATGGTACTCGTGGTGGTGATGGTGGTGGTTGTTGTGGTCGTGAGGGTTGTGGTGCTGGTGGTTGTTGTGGTACTGGTGGTCGTGGTCGTCGTCGTAGTGGTTGTCGTCGTTGAAGTAGTTGTGGTCGTCACTGTCGTCGTGGACGTGATGGTGATCGTAGTTGTGGTTGTGATAGTGCTGGTTGTTGTGGTCGTTGTGGTTGTGGTGGTGGTGCCTTGGCGCAGAGGGCACACAGAGAATGCCTCACAAACACCGTCCCCTGGACTACCCTAAACCCTAAACCCTAAACCCTGAACCTTGAATACCCTAAGCCCAAACCCCTTGCTTCGAGATGATGTCCATACAACAAAGGAACCGAAGGCCAAAACCCAACCAGTCTTTAGGCTTTCGGCTTTTTGGGGGGTTTACGGTTTAGGGTTACAGGCTTAGGGTTTAGGGTTTCGGGTTTCGGGCTTAGGGTTTAGGCTCTCGGGTTTAGGGGTTTAGGCTTGTGCAACGAGAGCTTTAGCAGTTGAAACTTGTTAAGCTATGAAAGGCTACCCAAGCCCTGAACACGTTAAACCCGGTACACCCCATAATCCCTGAACCGCATGAACCCTATGAATCCATTACTTGTGTTTGCTCTTGCCCTTGTGTGTTTGGATGTTCTCGGTGTCTCGCTTGTCTGTGCCCATGGATTGAGGTACCTGCTCCTTGAGTCAACTTCTTCATCAGTGTTAGCAAGTCTTAAAGATCCCCCTGCACGTTAAACCCTAAACCCCAAACCCTAAACCCCCTGAACCGTAAACCCTAAACCCTAAACCCCAAACCCCTAAACCCTCAACCCCAAACCCTAAACCCCAAACCCTACACCCTAAACCCCCACACCCAATGATGACAGGGCCTAGTGCTTGCCAGGAGGCGCTCGCATCCCTCCAAGGTAAAGATCTGCCCATCCTTCTTGCAGATCGTCACCTTGGCCTGATATAAAACAGTCGACTGCTTGGGGGGGGTTTAGGATTTAGGGTTTAGGGTTTACGGTTTAGGGTTTAGGGTTGTAGGGCTTTAGGGGTTTAGGACAGCTGGGTTTTAGGGTTTAGCGCTTTTGGCCCTAAGGGCAGGCACATTGTTGCTCGCTGTGGGGCTGGTGTATTGTGCCTGTCCCGTTGTCCTTTGGTGGGTGGGCCCCTAACGCTAGACTAGACCCCCTAAACCCCAAAATCCTCAAAATACCTAAACCCCAAAACCGAAAACCCTAAACCTTCCTTAGACCCCAAGCCCTGAAAAGCAAAAGCCTCGCCAGCGTAGCCCTGGGCACAGCTGGCCGTGGCATCGAAAGAGCGCCTTTGGTCCCGGCCATGAGAGCAACGGTTAGGGTTTAGGGTTTAGGGCCTAGGGTTTAGGGTTTAGGGCTTAGGGTTTAGGGTTTAGGGTCTAGGGTTTAGGGCTCAGGGCCGCGAAAAAAAACTCGAAAGCTTGCTCCACGTCGAGGTGAGGACGCCCAGAGTTCAGCTATGGGGGCTTTCTGGTTTTAAGGCTTGGGCATTGGCTGACTTGCCGTTTCTAGGCTTCTACTATAATACAATCTCCCCTAAGCCCGGACTAGACCCAGGAGTAACCTAGGAATGAAAAGGGTGCCCTTTTTGGTTTGAAAGGGCAACAAAAGGGAACCTAAACCCTACGCAAAAAGGTGATAAGGGCCTACTCGAGGTCCAAGTAACCCTATAAACCTATCCCGAAACCCTAAACCCTAAACCCTAAGCCCTAAACCCTAAACCCTAAACCCTTAACCCTCAAAGAATCAAAGGAGCATCTCCAGGCTCTTGACGTCGACGGCGTAGCCGTCGCTTTCAGGTTCCACGCAGGCCTCAGGCTCAGCCAATGAAGAGATTCAGGGTGGTTTAGGGTTTAGGGTTTTAGGGCTTAGCATTTGGTCACTTCTCCAAATTGTGGTCCCTTTAAATACAAAAGGGGCCGCCTTCTACAAGAAGGCGCCATAATTTAGAGAACTCACCATTTAGGGTTCAGGGGTACAGACGGCCGAGGGCAGGGTTTGGGGTTTAGGGTCTAGGGTTTAGGGCTCCGGGTTTGGGGTTGAGGGTTTTGGGGTTGAGGATTTCGTGTGTAAGGTTGAGGGTCTAGGGTTCGCCCTGATACTCAAGGAGTGAATGAGATACTCTAGCTTCGGATCGATGGGGATTCTGAGGGGACGAAAGAGCAGACTCCAGGGATCCGCCTCTTCGCCACACCCCAGTGAACCATAAACCCTAAACCTCCAAGCCTCCAACCCTAAAAAAAACCTAAACCCTAAACCCTAAACCCTAAACCCTAAACCCTAAACCCTAAACCCTAAACCCTAAACCATAAACCCAAGTCTTGAGCTCGACTGTGGTGGGACAATGGGATCTTACAGCCGGCTTGTGCGGTGTTCAGGACTTGCTCGGGGATTCAAGGGTTGGGGGCTATAAGGTCCAGGGTTTGAGGGGTTTTGAGGCCTTTGGGTGTGCCATCGCAACCCTAAACCCGAAACGCCTAAACCCTAAACCCTAAACCCTTCCTGAACCCTAAACCCTTCCTAAACCCTAAACCCTAAACCCTAAACCCTCAACCCTCAACCCTAAACCCTAAACCCTAAACCCTAAACCTGCCAGGGTTCAGGGCTTAAGGGTCCGAGGTCTGCGTCGAGCCAAGGAGCGGCTGGGCGGCATCCAGAGAGCTGGTACCTCTCAGCCAGCTTCTTGCAAATGTGGACTTCGCTCGAGATTACGGGCAGCAAAGTCCCTAAACCCTAAACAAGGGAAAAAAGCAAACCCCTAAACCCTAAACCCACCCTAAACGCTGAACCGCTCTCGGAAAGAGGCTTGGCATTCCGGCAGATTCCGCATGTCTCGACCCCACAGCGATCATGGTTTTACGGCTTTTTTTGGTAGCAAGGCAGGGACTGGGAGGTAGCATCTTTCCTGAACCCTAAACCCTAAACCCTGAACCCTAAACCCTACAGCCCTGCAACCCTACAACCCTAAACCACAACCCTCAACCGTCCCTAAGCTCTGGGTAAACGCCCTGATGCTCGTGGCTTCGGGATTTTGATGAGGCTTCCACCAGGGTATCAAAGGGCTTTAGGGGTTGTACATGGGTTGTATAATTTTCTTGCAAGACCCTAAACCTTCAGATCGATACACCCTAAATCCTAGACCCTGAGCCCTAAACCTTCCCAACCCCCCCCCCTCTGGTGGCTCTGTCGGGGTGCGCGGCGCCGTCTTCGGCGCAGACGGTGGCCCTGAGCCCAAGCTCAAAAGCATCTGCGCAACAAGGGTGTAGGGTTTCGGGCTTAGGGTTTAGGAGGGTTTAGGAGGGTTCAGGAGGGTTTAGGAGGGTTTAGGAGAGTTTCGGGTTTACGGTTGAGGGTTTAGGGCAGCTTTGCATCAGGCTTGGGGGTGTTGGGCGCGTTGCAGTGTCCGGACATGGCCATCGAGCCACTGTAACTTCCCAAGCCCCGAACCCTAAACCCCGAACCCGAAACCCTAAACCCTAAACCCTGGAAGTTTTTCAGGAGTTCTCACGCGGCTCCTGGATTCCTTCAGCCACTGTACTTCGCGTTCAAGTTTTAGGGTTCTTGGTGAAGAAAAGTGGCTTCGACCTGAAGCCCGGCAAACCTTAAAGCCTAAACCCGCCTGAACCCTAAACCCTGAACCCTAAACCCTAAACCCTAAACCCTAAACCCTAAACCCTAGACCCTAAACCCTAAACCCGAGTCTTCTCCGGCTGAGCATCGAGGGCGTGCCCACAAAGTTGTTCGCGCACTTGGCAGTGACCTGGAATTTGGAGATCGCCAGCTGGCTCTCCACAACCTGGTGTTTAGGGTTTAGGGTTTAGGGTTTAGGGTTTAGGGTTTAGGGATTAGGGTTTCGGGTTTAGGGTTTCGGGTTTAGAGTTTAGGGTTAGGGCTAAGGATGACGGGGATCAGCACGAGCAGGGGTTTAGGGATTTGGTTTGGATCTTTGCGGTGAGCATTTAGGGTTTTTGGTTTGAGGAGGCGGTTCAGGAGAAGGGTCTGCCGGAGAAGGGTCTGCCAGCCTTTGCAAGCTATTCCTGCCTGCACTCGATGCCGCACCCTACTGCATAAAAGTACCGCTAAACTTGCAAGACCCTAAACCGCAAACCCCTCAACCCCTAAACCCCTAAACCCCTAAACCCTTAAAACCCCTAAACCCCTAAACCCTTAACCCCTAAACCCCTAAACCCCTAAACCCCTACATCCCTAAACCCCTAAACCCGTAAACCCTAAACCCCATTAAACCCCATTAAACCCCTAAAACCCCAAAAGATGTGGCCGGAAAGCTGTGTAGTTGGCAGAGTCCTCTGGCTTTGGGCTCACGCACTTCTCCTGCGCGTCTGTGACACGGCGCGTTCGCAAGGCTTAACTTAGGGTTTGGGGCTAAGGGTTTAGGGTTTTGCGCTTGGGGTTTAGGGTTTAAGGTTTAGGGTTTAGGCTTTGGGGTTTTGGGTTTAGGGTTTATGGTTGAGGGTTGGTGGAGGGTTGAGGGTTTAGGGTTTAGAGCTTCGGGCCGAGGGTTTAGGTTTTGGAGTTAACAGATTGCACTCGGACCGTGTACGGATGAAACATCCCTGCAAGTCGTTCCCTCAGAGGAGACCTTACATCCAAGTGCTCATAAACGACTTCGGGTTCATGTCCTCAACTCCCGGCCCTAAACCCTAAACCCTAAACCCTAAACCCTAAACCCTAAACCCTAAACCCTAAACCCTAAACCCTAAACCCTAAACCCTAAACCCTAAACCCTAAACCCTAAACCCTAAACCCTAAACCCTAAACCCTAAACCCTAAACCCTAAACCCTAAACCCTAAACCCTAAACCCTAAACCCTAAACCCTAAACCCTAAACCCTAAACCCTAAACCCTAAACCCTAAACCCTAAACCCTAAACCCTAGCCAAGAACGGCTTCCTTGTAGAGGTCGTCGGCATTCTTCGGCATGGCGATGCTGACCTCCTTGACGACAGTCTTCTTGAAGTCCTCGGCAACCCCAACCCTCCCAGAGACTCCAAAACCCCTTAAGGAATATATCTTAAATTATAATCGGAACCCTAATATGAATTAAGGTATATTCCTTAAGCCTGTAAATTATAAAGCTTTGAACCCGATTTTAGGGTTTCAAGGTTTCGGGTTAGGGTTAGGGAAAAAGGCTTAGGGTATGGAGACCCTTAACCTAAACCCTCAAACGCCATGAGCCCAGACGGTCCATGTGTAGTACTATAGTACTATTATGGAATTAGGTACTCAAAAACCATACTAAATAGGGTTGTGGGGTACCTAATCTTTCCATAATGCTTCTACAAATGGACCCTCTGGGGAAGATTCGGAACCCATAGTCCCTAAACTGCGTCTTAAGCTACAGGAATTACTTAATTTTGCAGTGCAAGTTGGTTTAACCCTTAAACCCTAAAACCTAACATTCCTGAACCCTGTACTGCGCGCTCGGCAACTAGGCCCCCGGGCCCCACTCAGCGACACCGGAACTTTAACCCAGGCGGTTCCCTGGCGGAGGATTTCGGGGTTCAGGGTTTAGGGTTTAGGGTCTACGGTTTAGGGGTTGCAGTTTGTAGGGTGTGTAGGGTGTAGGGGATTAATTGCTAGGGTTTATAGGTTTTCCTTGGGGTTTCTAGATTTTCGGGTTGCAGTCCTTGGGGCAGTCTCGAAGGACTCGGGGTTTAGGGTTTTGGGTTTAGAGACCCCAAAAAAGCTTGAGATCATCTGCCCAGGGTTCAGGGTTCAGGGTTCAGGGTTTAGGGTTTAGGGTTTAGGGTTGTTCCCCCTACATTACGGCCCCACTTTCGGTTCGGGCCCCGCCCTTCGGCTATATGAAAGCCTAATTTCAAAGCAAGTCGCCGGCCCTCAATCCTGAGTCTTCAAAAGCCCCAATGTAGGGTTTAGGGGGTTTAGGGGGTTTAGGGGGTTTAGGGGGTTTAGGGGGTTTAGGGGGTTTAGGGGGTTTAGGGGGTTTAGGGGGTTTAGGGGGTTTAGGGTTCCCTAAATCCCTCAAAGTCCCTAGCCCCGCCGCCTAACCACGCGCCCCTCATCAATCCTTATAAACGCGGACATGTGCATGGCGGTAGGGGTTGCATCGGCAGTAGGGATTGAGAGATTTTCTTCCAGGGTCCCTGAACCCTAAACCCTAAACCCCAAACCCCAACCTGAAACCCTGAACCCTAAACCCCAAACCCTAAACCCCAAACCCCAAACCCTAAACCCTAAACCCTAAACCCTAAACCCTAAACCCTAAACCCAAAACCCTAAACCCTAAACCCCGAACCGTTAGCGCGGGGCGCCTCGCTGGACGCGATCACGGCAGTCAGGCTCCAAGACGTTGCCTGCCTGCACGCTGAGGGTTTTGGGGTTTAGGGTTTAGGGTTTAGGGTTTAGGGTTTAGGGTTTAGGGGTAGGGTTTTTAGGGACCAGAGGGCTTCTAGGGTGTAGGGTCTAAGGTTGAGGGTTTAGGGTTTAAGGTTGAGGGTTTAGGGTTTATGGTTGAGGGTTTAGGGTTGAGGGCTTGTTGGGTTTAGGGCTTAGGCTCTAGGGACTGTAGCTTTTAAATTCTCAGCCATCGGCTTGGGTTCGGGGTAAGGTAACAGGGTATTGGGGTCTGATTAAGGGTTTCGGGTTTAGGGCTGCTCAGTTGAGGTGGTTTTTAACCAGTCCATCGAAGCCCGTCCCGCCCCCGAAACCAGAAATCCAACAGCTTCAACCTTGGCCCTCAAAAAACCGACGCACTAACGGAAGAACTTCTCAAAATGGATTCAGGCAGTGTGGATGTAGGGTAAATGCTTCTTGGTTGTAGAGCCCAGCGCCTAAGGTTTAGGGATCTGGGGTCTCGGGTTCTAAACCCTGAACACCAAACCCTAAACCCTAAACCCTAAACCCGAAACCCTAAACCCTAAACCCCAAACCCTACGCGCTCGCGCCTACCCTTGTGTTCCTCATCATTCTGGCCGTTCTTCTCCACCGCAGTGGTCAAGGTTGCCTTCAGGAACTTGGGGTCCCTAAACCCTGCGCCCTAAACAAGGTCTATAAGGGTTAAAGGGGTTGGGGTTTAGGGGGGTTTACTAGGGTTAGGATTTAGGGTTTAGGGTTTAGGGTTTAGGGTTCAGGGTGTCGAAAGTTTCAGACCAGGCTTTGGGGTTGAAGGGTTTGCTAAACGACCAAGCTGTAGTCCTAACTTTCTGGCCGCGGCGAAACCCCTAAATCAAGTAAGCGTGCAAACTTGGTGAAACGGAAAGGCTTCCCTACATCAAGCTAAAATCCCAGGGTTTAGAATTTAGGGTTTTAGGGCTTAGGGTTGAGGGTTTAGGGTTCAGGTTTGGGGTTTGGGGTGCAGGGCTCTACACCCTAAACCGCGAAGCTACACCCGAAGCGTCCAGGGAGGGGGGCGGGGGGGTTGGGGTTTCAGAAGGCTGTAGGGTTTAGGGGTTTAGGGTTTAGTGTTTAGGGGTTAGGGTTTAGGGTATAGGGTCTGGGGGTTAGAGTTTAGAGTTGGGTTTAGAGTTTAGAGTTTCGGGAGGGTACGCCTTGAAGTTGTGGTCATGCTGCAGATTCTTCAGCGGGACCTCGACCTTGGCAAAGTGACGAGGATGGGGATGGGGGCGAGCTTGATTCTTGTTAGTAGGGTTTGGGTTGGGTTTAGGGTTTAGGGTTGGGGTTTAGGGTTTAGGGTTTAGGGTTTAGGTTTCAGGGTTTAGCTTTGTGATTGGGTTTAGGATATTTAGGGGTAACGAGGCTGTTTGGGTACCCCAACCCCGAAAACATAGACCATATGACTCTCCAGTGGAGTCTAGGACCGTTGTTGCTTTGGGAGGGGCGGAAGTGGGGCAACACTGAACACTAAACCCCTGAACCCTAAACCCTAAACCCCAAACCCTAAGCCCCACCCAAACTCGCTATTTCTCCCTTCTTGCTTCTCTGAAAAACCCACAAAGATCCAAAGCAAAAGCAGCGACTTCCAACCCTGAGCCTCAGTCTAAACCCTAAACCCTAAACCCTAAACCCTAAAGCCTAAAGCCTAAACCCTAAACCCTAAGCCCTAAACCCTCAACCCTCAACCCTCAACCCTCAACCCTCAACCCTCAACCCTAAACCCTAAACCCTAAACCCTAAACCCTAACCTACCTGTATAAGGCCCGGCGGCAAGAATGTCGGTTTGACTATCTGTCCGCTTCCAACCTCGCCATGGTGTTCGCTGCTCGGGTTTGGGAGCTTGCAGGTCGAGGCTTGAGGTTTTGGTGTGGGTTTAGGGTTTAGGGTTTTAGGGTTTAGGGTTTAGGGTTTAGGGTTTAGGGTTTAGGGTTTAGGGTTTAGGGTTTAGGGTTTAGGGTTTAGGGTTTAGGGTTTAGGGTTTAGGGTTTAGGGTTTAGGGTTTAGGGTTTAGGGTTTAGGGTTTAGGGTTTAGGGTTTAGGGTTTAGGGTTTAGGGTTTAGGGTTTAGGGTTTAGGGTTTAGGGTTTAGGGTATAGGGTTTAGGATTTAGGGTTTAGGGTTTAGGGTTTAGGTTTTCAGGTCTGTAGGGTTTAGGGTTTAGGGTTCAGGGCTTGCAGTGTCGAGCTTGGGGCTTGAAGGCTTCAAGGAAAGTGGTTTGGGGCTTTAGGGTGCTGTGGTTGGGCTGCTGGGAGGCTCTCGGTGAACTATCCTGGGCCCCAAACCCGAAAAGCTGAAGACAACCTGTTCAAGTTAAAGTTTCGGGCTCAGGCTTCTAAGGCTCAAACCTGCAGAGACACTCCTCAGCACAGAAGTCCTGGACCCTGAGCCCTAAACCCATGCACCCCCGAACCCTGAGCCGCCCAGGTTGCAGACCCTAACCCCAAAACCCCAAAACCCCCAAAACTCAAAAAAAAACCCAAAAACCCCAAAACCCCGAACCCTCAAGACAGCTCGGTTTACAAAACTTCCCGAAACCCGAAACCCGAAACCCGAAACCCTAAACCCTAAACCCTCGGTAAGCTTGCCAGGATGCTGAACTTCTTGCCATCCTCTGGAGTGTCGGTGCAGAGATTCTGCACCTGAGTCTCCTTTCGCACAGGGGTTTGCGATCTGGGGTGTGGGTTTCGGGCTTTCGGGTTGTAATGTAGGGTTCAGGGGTCATAGGGTTTAGGGTTTAGGGTTTAGGGTTCAGGGTTCAGGGTCCAGGGTTCAGGGTTCAGGGTTCAGGGTTCAGGGTTCAGGGTGCAGGGTTTGGGGCTTGGGGCTTAGGGTATAGGGTTCAGTGTTTAGGGTGAGGGGGTGATGCATCAGCCAGCCATCCTGACAACTAGGTAAATTGCTACGAAAGTTGCTTGGGATTTGGGCTTGAGGGTCCTGGGGTTTCCTGCTTAGGGTTCGGGGTTTCGGGGTTTCGGGCACATTGCTTCGGGTTTTGGGAAGCCTCAACGCCCCATGGACTGTCATAGCCGCCAAGCCCTACAGTAAATGTCCGCCGTTCTCCCCCGAGGTTTCGGCTTGAGGGCTGAAGGGCAAAGGACAATCACCCTAAAAGCCTGAAACCCTCAGAGCCTTAAGGGCTCAAACCCTAAACCCTAAACCCTTATGACCTGAGGACGGCTTTTGGGGATTCCCAAACACTAACACCCCAAAACCCTAACACCTCAAAACCCCAAAAGCCAACCTCAGGTCTCACCAAAAAAACTGTCCCCCGCGGCCTGAGTCTCTGAAGTCTCGGTGCTGGAACAGACAGAAGAATCCTGCGAGGGAGTTTCGTAGGGTGTTTAGGGGTTTAGGATGCTAGGGCTGTATAGAATGTAGGGATAGGGGTTTAGGGTTTGTAGGTTCTAGGATTCAGGGTGATCTTGAAGGTTGAGGGTTCGGAAATCTCAAGCCCCAAGCCCTACACCCAATTCAGGCAGCGGCCACAAGCATCCCCTTTCCAAAACCTGCCTTTAGAACCACAAACAGTAGTTGTATGCTACTGCTATAAAACTCCTGATAGAAGGG